ATATATATATATATATATATATATGATGTTTATGACAGAGCAAGTTTAAAACAGAGTGGGTGCAAGAAAGGGAATGACCCTGAAGTCTGGACCCAGGTTGAAAAAGATCAAACATTTGTCCGAAGGATGGTTTTATTGGTCCAATACATGAACAATATGTTCACAGGCTTCATTTTGTTGGAGAAGCATCAGGCAAAACCAGAACAACCCCAGCACGCCATCCACTCCCCCATGTGAATTAGTGTCACTTCAATCTCTGACGTCTCAGTGGTTGACAGACGTCTGGAAAACCCACAGAAGCCGGGGACTATCCTGTGATGTCACACTAAATAAACGAGAACTCAATCCACAGGTCAGCAGTCTGACCACAAGAATCGTTCAAAGACGCAGCCCCTCAAACACTTAATGCGAATTCTTTTGTTTTCCATCAGCAAATGACATTAAGCTACTGCGCCACAAAACTTTCCCTCTTCACAGCCGCAGTACCAAGAAGGTGAGTTTTTTTCACTGTTAGTTCCATTTGAAGATCAGCTCCACACTGAGTGGGGTGACATCACCAGTGAAGCCCACTGACCATTTGAAGGGAGCGTGACTTTTGAGTGTCTTGACCATGCATGTACACAGGTCATTCCGTGTGCATTATTACTATACAACTTACTTTTGTGTGTTTGGTGTAACAAGTTACTCCATCATAAAGCCTGTCCACCTCAACTGTCCACTCTGTGGTGGTTGTGACAGTTGGGATGTGAAGGCCAGAGCAGAGTTTGTCTTTGTATTTTGTGTGTTTGTGTTGTTCTTAACAAACTGTCAGACTTACAGATACCCAAAAGATGTTGTACATCTGTACTAATTTAATCAGTGGAAAAAGGTAAGTTTCCTCTTCACTTGCTTTGCTTTTAACAATTGTAGCTGCTGAAAGGCTACAAATTCATTTGGTTTTCCAGTGACATAAAATAATTGCATTCGATCATCATTGCATCCTTATTGCTGTCTGAAAAAAATAGATATAGATTGGTGACTGTATTTTATTTAGTGGTATTTGCTCTGACCAACTTGTCCAGGCGCGTGATTGGTTAGCTAACGTGGTTACTATTTAAGTTGGAGTTAAAATAAGGAAAATGCTTTTTACCTTTTTCAACTATTGCTATTATTGTTGAAATAACTGTCTATAGCTCAGTTTCACTCATCTCTTAGAGCAGTCTTTAATGCAATTCACTAATACTCCACCGGGGGATACACTAAACTGAACAAGTGAGGAAATTGTCAATAACCCATCGCTATTGACAAATGTAATGTATTTCAACACACAATAAGACACCGCTGTAAAAATGTAATCATTCCTGAAAGAGAATGTGTTTTTGGTAAAGACCCTGAGGTGATTATTTTTACCTGAGGGTGTTTTGAAAAAATAGAGAAGCCAGTTATCTGAAGGGTGCAGAAAAATTGCACAGGCTGCACCCGTCAGGGTCAAAGGTCATGTAGTCCATAACTACATGACCTTTCAAAAGGTCATGTAGTTATGGACTTGTCTGAATTGTGAAGAAAGGAGCAGAGCTTGACGGCTAAATGATTATAGTTCACGTGGGCGTAGCTATACAGTATGTGTTGCCCAAATTCTAGCTTTTGGTGGTCAATATGTGGCCCTCAGGCCTGTCTTTGGTTGCTTTGTTGTATTTCCTTCAGAGCTTATTAAATTATAGGGTCCGTGTCTAGGAGATTGACTTTGAAAAGATAAATAATTGAACTCATTCGTTAACCATACCATCAGCAGCGCTCTCCTGACGTCTGCTATACCCACTGCTGTACCTACTGTGACTCTGCACTCGGCACAGTGTGATCCCGTTTGAGTCACTTCCAGTCAGTCATGTGTCAATTATGTGTGTTTGCCATTTGTCTTTCAGCAGTTTATAGTCATACATTGTAAACAGCAGCTCATGTTTGTCAAGATCATTTTGTTAAACCATTATCAATATTCAACAAAGAAATACGACCCAGTCACTCTGCAACACAATGAGACTCTTGCGTGCAAGATTAGCATTACCGATTTAGTCATTGTGTTTTTAAAAACTTTACATAATGTGTGTCTTGCTCTGGCAGTTTGAGAAAAGGCAGGTTATAATTTAGTAAATTAACTATAAATGTTATTTTCTTAAATAATATAAAGGCATTGACATACCGTATTTATGTATTTGTGCAAGATTTCTTTAACAATGTTTACAGCAATAACAATGCTATAATTGGACAAATATTTTACTTCATGTATCATATCAGCATTTGTTATATAACATGTAATAATAATAAACTAAAATGAAATACCAGAGCTCAGTATATCAATGTGCATTTTTTTTTTTTTGTTCTACTTGATGCGGCAGTTGTGAAAGTTGCGATGAAATCCATTCTGACCGCAAAACTAACGGTTGTATCAACCAACAAGTGTTGTAGTAGACCTGTCATGATATGAAGATATGGTTGATCTCCATATCATGACAGGACTACTACAACACTAAAGAACATGAGATGACACATCTCTGGTTGTTGTTTAGTTTAAAAGCAACTGGAATTTATATTAAAAAAAACAACACAAAAGATTCCATGTTAATTCAATTTAGACTTTGTTTGTACTCAATTTAAAAAATAACATCTGAAAAGACTGATGAATGAAGACAAAAAAACCCCAATATCTATATTTCTTTCTACCTATCTATATAGTTTCAAGACATGACAAAGGGATTAGTCCTGGAAAAACCTAACCAAAACAGAACTGTATTTGTTGATGATTAAAGATGAGGTGTTGCCATCGTCACTGAGCTTAAAAGCTGTTTGTAGCTTAAAAACAATCGTGAACTAGTTCCAAAGTTTCCCTTCAGCTACATAGTTTTCAAAGATGATCAGGTGAATAATAGAGCAACCCTAAGGTTCTGATGTTTGCTGGCATGGACACCGGAGTAAACCGATCTGTTATCTTAAGGACCTTGTAAAGGTTGTCCATTGTTATAAAAATTATCATCTGTGCTTTCAGGCGTCAGAGATCTCATCAAAGAGCATCAGTTGTTGGCAAATCTTAGAAAGGTAGGTGCAATGTGATTATTCCCTTAAAAATTCCCAATAATCTTAAGTTTTTCCACTTCCATTATAAAAGCAATAATATAGAAATACAATAAAGATTTGTGTTACACTATGGATTGATTCATTTTAAAGCTTCATCTGTTATTGTGTTATTAAAGTAAAAGAAAATAGTCAGAACTAATGAACTGAATACATGGAAAATGTACTTTAATTTAATTTCCTTTTTTAAAAAAACAATCTTTTCTTCTATTTCTCTAAATTGGTAAACATATTTCTATATATGTTTTTGTTTTTTACTTTAGGATTTGATCTGTTTGGATCTCGTAGGAATTCTTAAAGAAAAAATGATATCTCCTTTATGGAAGCAGACTGTTCCGGTCTATGTCACTTTACCTTTGCCAGTTGTTATTGTTGGTTATTAATTCCTGGATCCTGTGGGAATGAATACATGCCTCACTGTAGATGGTCAGACATATAGGGTGTATTGAAATTTGTATCAGGGGTGGTTGCTGTTGTGACGCACAGGTGATGTCTACCTCTGTTTGCAGTGTCTACCATGGGCCACAGAGTGATGGACTACAGCATCCACAGAAATGTCCTGCATGAAGAAGCCGTGGATGAGATGGCAGAAAGGTCCAGGTCAAACATTCATCTGTGTGACCAGATCAAACAGTCCATGAGGTAAAGACCTTAAGCTCTAAATGATGATTGATTGGTTAATTTTGACAACCCTATTTCATTGTACTGTAAAGTACTATTATTTCCAGCATTTTTTAAACTAACTCTTTAGTTAACGCAGAGGCAGACAAATACTTGTGGATAGAAGTAATCCATTAAGGTACTTGGATGAAATGTGTTTGTGAGACTACTTTATGTATTTAGAGGAACAACATGTCTGTTAATATATATATATATATATATATATATGCATATATATGTATTTTTTATGTTGTATTTTTTACCCACTTCCGTTTCATTCTGACCCAGGTGTTCTGGCCCTCGACTCAAGAAATGCATACTGCACAAAGTCCCTATCATAAAATGGCTGCCTCGCTATTCTATCAGAGACAACGCTGTTGGAGACTTGGTAGCTGGAGTCAGTACAGGGATTATGCATATATCTCAGGGTAAGTATAGCAGAGGCGTGTCATGCATTTTACACCTAGGCCTTCATTGGCATCCTGCCTGAATAATCTTAATACAAAGTCATTATGTCTGTAGAAATCATCCACATTATTTCATTATTTTCATTATTTTTTCACTTTCAAAACTGATCAAACAGGGCAGATTTCTTTCACCCTGGCAACACAACAAAGTACAATTGGATTGATTTTTGGGTTTGCAACTTATACTCAGGTGCGACTTATATATTAAAATATATAATTTCTAGTGTCCGCTAGAGGGCACTCTAGGATTGTTTAACGGTATCTGCTACTCCTGTACCACTGAAAATGTACATGTTTCTTATTTTCACACTGACAGCCACTAGAGGGCACTGGTTCGACTTATACTCTGGAGCGACTTATAGTCCGGAAAATACAGTATACACGACTGGAAGCAACGCAACCAAAAGAAAGGCTACTCTGAATAGGCTTTGCTGGCCTTGATGGTTCACCACTGAATAGACACAGGACAATATCAAGAAACTGTACAAACGTAAAAATGAATCAATTGAATGAATAAATGAATCAGTTACTTGGTACTGTTTTCCTGATACTGTAGATATTTTAACAGCAAGATATTCATTTGTATTCTGTGTCATTCCTGCAGGTATATCCTACGCCCTGATTGCATCCATTCCATCAGTCTACGGCCTTTACGCTTCCTTCTACCCCGTGCTCATCTACACGATATTTGGTTCATCCCGTCATGTCTCAATCGGTTTGTATCTCAAAAAAAATTATTATTATTATTTTATTTTGGTTTTATCTTGTTTTGCTTAAAGATTAGGAGGTGGTCAGAGAAGTGTTAGTTTACTTCTTGACCAAATGTGTTGCTAACATTTCATTTAGACAACAAGAGATCGAGTGAATTTACATGAAAGTACCAACTCCTGGTTAAATTATGAAGAGGAGGGTATAGTGTACACTGTAATGTATTTTCATGGCTAACTCTCTCTCTCCCTTTCTCCCTCTCCCTCTCCCCCTCTCTCCAGGCCCATCTTCCGCTCTCAGTGTAATGGTACGAGGACTGACGGATCGGTTGGCCCCAGACTCAGACTTTATGGTCTGGGACAATGAGACCAACTCTAGTGTAGTGGACACCGACTCTCAGGACGAGCGGAGCACTCAGATAAATTCAGCCGTCACCATCCTTGCAGGAATATTCCAGGTAATTGTTGGAACACAATTTAAAAGACTAGGTTATTTTTGGTTTTTGTTGTTTTTTTAAACTGTGTTTTCATTTGCTCTTTAGATTTTTCTGGGTTTGATTCACTTTGGAGTTGTGGTGTCTTTCCTCTCTGATCCTCTGGTGCGAGGTTACATCACAGCAGTTGGCTTCCATACCATTTTGTCCCAGTTAGGGAACATCTTTGGTATCCAGTATGTGAAACACAGCGGACTAGTCGCATTCATATATGTAAGTAATCCAGTAATAGTGTTGGTAACGTAAGGGTTACAGACAAGTGTGTCATTTTTTTCCCTTGTTTTCAAAATGTCAAAAGTAAAGATTCTGATTAAACTATTACCAAAAGATCAAATCGGCTCCTAGTACACCTGTTAAGGTTTATGTGTAGGTCTATAATTATGAATATCTGAAGATGATTCTTTTTCTCCCATTTTGTCTTTCTAGAACCTGATAGAAGTGTGTTACGTTCTACAACAGACTAACATTGCAAATTTGCTGGTTTTCATCGTAACGTTTGTCTGCCTTCTCATTGCTAAGAAGCTCAATGAATTGCTAAATAGAAAAATTACCATTCCCCTTCCCCTTGAGCTGCTTGCTGTAAGTATGTAGTCATGGCCTTTTTTATATTTAAGATTATCACTTAAAAATACAAGTACAAACACAAACACATGTGTCTCATATGATATCTGCTTCACAGGTCATCATTTCTACAGTGATCTCGTGGAAATTTAACTTCAAGGAAACTTTTGACGTAAAAGTGGTGGGAAAAATTCCTTCAGGGTAAACAGCACGACGTAACAAAAACGAGAAGACACATTTTTCTTTTTTAAATATAAAAATAATACTAAATACCTTCTCTTTCCTTCTCCAGCCTCCAGCCGCCCACATTCCCACCTGCTTCCACGTTTGTTCAGGTGATAGGTGACGCCTTTGCCATTGCTGTGGTTAGCTTCGGCATGTCCATCTCAATGGCGCAAATGTTTGCCCTTAAATTTGGCTACAAAGTGGACAGCAATCAGGTAGAACAGGGTGCCGAACTAATTTTCACATCAGCAATAAAGGCTGGTTGTAACTGGATGACTGTATACTGTAGATGTAACTAGTTCATAACATGTTAAAAACTGTTTCTGTAATTGATTATTATTTATTGATGTTACAAATATTGCACATTTCTATGTGTTATAAAATAGTTTAAATGTATCAGGTCAAGAATGTTAATCAAATCAAGCTTTTCAAGTACATTTCAAAAATCACAGCTATCTCAGTGCAGTGGGTCAGGTTTTGGGTGAAGTTGATGAGGTTATGTTACTGTATGTTATCCATGAACACCTTGAGTAACCTCTGCTCATTGATCTCTGATCATCATGACATGCGTTATTGTTGTTTTAATATTTTAATATATCTTTTTGAGCAGTGGTGCTTTGGCCCAGAGGCAATGTCTCTGTCATTGGTTCAGGGTTCACCTCCTGGGCAAGTTCAAATCCCGGTTAGGGTGGTTGGTACCTTCCAGTGGATTCACCACCCGCAGGAAGGTTCAGGGAGTTTGGTACGGTGCAGTGTGATTTAGATGGCGTCTGCTGCCCTGCGACCCGGTAACGGATAAGCGGATGAAAATGGATGGATGGATCTTTTTAAGCTCCCACAGGGCCAGACAAAATGGTTTGACGGGCCACATTCGACCCGCAGGCCTTGAGTTTGACACACATAGGCTTGAGTATGGAACAACATCAAAAGAAGAAACTATTGATGTATTGTACCCTCACACTTCTCAAAATATTTTAGGAACTGCTCGCTATGGGTCTGTGTAACTTCATTGGAGGAACGTTCCAAAGTTTGGCCGTCAGTGTTTCTGTGTCTCGCAGCATGGTCCAGGTGAACACAGGAGGCAAAACGCAGGTTGGTACCACAATACCAACACTTTTTATGAACTTAATTATTTTCAGGTTCCTATTTTATTTGGAGTGTTACCTCTTTTCTTTCTCTCTCTCTCTCTCTCTCTCTCTCTCTTTCTACACTGCAGCTCACTGGAATTGTGTCCACAGCAGTCATACTTGTCGTCTTGTTTTGGATTGGGGTTCACCTCACAAATCTGCCAAAGGTCCGTGAGGTCTAGGTGACCACATAAAGCACTTGATTATTTCTCTCTACCAACTCCATAGTCCCTAAATTGAAATCTTGTATTTTTTGTGCACATACAAATATAGGAGTTTGTTTTTATCAGTGAAATGTTTGTTACTTACACAGGCAGTGCTGTCGGCCATCATCTGTGTCAGCCTTAAAGGCACAGTAAAACAACTGAAGGACATCCCTGAGCTGTGGAAGAAGGACAAGATAGACATGGTGAGTCACCCTGGAAAAACAGAGATAATAATGATAATAATAAATAAGGATATGGCTGCAGAAAGTGTTTGCTGTAAAATTCACAGCAGTCACTGCCTGGAAATCCAGATTTGCAACATTTTATTTAAGTGCCACCAGGTCACTATGGTATAAATATGATGGTGTGTGTGTGTGTGTGTGTGTGTGTGTGTCAGGTATTGTCACTTGACTGAATAAAAACGTATATTTTCCCTTAACATTACAGTGAAAATTAAGCGATTTGGATTGTACTTGCTTCTTTTTCGATTGTGGATATTACCCATAGGTGTCGCCCTTGTGCATATTTTGAAACACGCCTAAAAATATATCATCACCAATTAGTCACATTTAGAGACATACACACTTACATAAAATGATAAAAGACATGCTTTCAAATAAAATAGACATAAGAAAACTTTTTTGTGTGGTTGTGTTTTGTTATTTTATTTTCTGGATTCTTGGTAACGTTTTATTGGAGCCAATTGAGTTAATCAGGTGAACAAGCTGATTAGATAAAAGGCTACTGATGTAAAAGGAAATGCGGTTTATTGGGGTGGGTAATTCAACCCATGTATTTGTTTCTTATGTATTTGCATTTTATAATCTCTGACAAAGTCCATGACAGCCACCGCTCTGTTCTTCAGGCCATCTGGCTGGTTAGCTTCATCCTCACTGTTCTGTTGAACCCTGACATGGGACTGTTTGCTTCTATCGGCTTCTCAATAGTCACAGTCGTCTTCAGGAGTCAGAAGTAAGTAAACATAACAACACGAACTATTGATGTAGGCCAACTTTACAGCAGTTTCTCTGTTTATTTTCTAGACCTAAATACTCCTTACTAGGCCAAGTCAAAGACACTGACATCTACAGGCCCCTGGAAGACTACGATCAGGTATTTTAACAGCAATAACTCAGTGTTTTGTTGATTCTTTATCTAAAACACTTAAAACTAATCAGCGAGATCAAAAACCCATTGCTGTTTGGTGGTTCCTCAGACTGGGTGGTCAGTCTTCTTCTCAGGAGATGACCTGTGGCGGTTTGTCATTTTATTATGTAGTAGTATTTCTTTGAATACAGCTATTGACTGTTTTCCTGACTTCATGGTAATTTCAGGTGAAGCAGGTACCAGGGATTGTGATCTTCCGTTCCTCTGCCACGATCTACTTTGCTAATGCTGACATGTACCAGGATGCCTTGAGGAAGAAGGTGAGGTGACACACGCAAAATGCAAACGCCAACACAGTCTAAATGACCAAAAACCTCTTTTTCATCCCTATTGTTTTTCCAAGCCTCAAAGAAAATATAGTCATTATTTCTTGTTTTGTTTTTTCTTTTCACTGCCATCACCTTGAACTTGCATTATGTCTATTTCATCACATTTATGCAAAATTTTATTTATTTTAAGTCTGGAATCGATGTAACAAAGATCCTCAATGCTAAGATGAAACTAGAAGAAAAAAAAAAGAAACTTCAGAAGAAAAATAAAAAGTCAAAACAAGGGGACATGGTAAGAAAAACTAAACTCTTGTTCTTCAGTCATTTTTTTTTTAATCTATGAAATGTGCTGTTTGTTATTTTCTTACATTACTTTTCCGTTGCTCTTTTTGAAATTCTGACATCAAATGTTGCCTGTTGTGTCTCGTCCTGTCCAGGAACCAGAGAAGGACATCTCTGTCATAGACCTGGACCCGGAGCCTTCACACACATTTCCAAGAGCCATCATCCTGGACCTCAGCCTTGTCAGCTTCCTGGATACGATGGCAGTCAAAGCACTAAAAAATGTATGGCTATAACAGAGAACAATGACACAGTTCCCCTCTCCTTTATTTAATAAATGTGTTCCCCTTAGACTCTGGTGTATGTAAAAAACATTTCATACCCAATTCTGAGGCCTGTGTTCAGATGTCTGAAACATCTAACAACATTTAAGTTCCCATCCATTTTATAATTGTTACATTGTCCGTCAGAATAAGAACGAAAAAAGCCCATTTTGATCCTTTTTACTGTTTTGTTTTTTCCCCTCTAGATTCACAGAGACTACGGGAAAATTGGTATAGAGGTGATTCTTGCCTGCTGCCAACGTAAGTCACTTGTAGCCTACTGTTAACCTGCTGCTGCTAAGAGTTTTTCTGCCTGTTGTAAACGCAACTCTCCTTTGGATGTCAGAAGGCCAGTCATGTTGCATTGCACTTGAAATGACATTTTATGATTGGTGATTTGCTTGGTGAGTTTTTTGTTTTTTTCCAAAGATTCCTGTTTTTATTCCTGTACATTTGTTTCAGCACTGGTGGTGGACAGGCTGCAGAGGCTGGACTTCTTTAGTGACAAGGTGACAAAGTCCTGTGTGTTCTCCACCCTCCATGATGCTGTTTTGTACTGTCAGTCGCCCTATGAGAGGGAAGATGAGGTAAACTACTGCCCAAGCATCAAATATACACTTTTCAGCACATGTAATACAGTGTAACAAACTACACGTGAATGGACAGTATCTGCCTAAACATGTCTTCAATCACTTGTTGTTGTTTGTTCTTTTGTATTTTTCAGGTGACCCTAATGACAAAGCTCTGACTCTTTTTGAGAGAATGGGAACACTCTTTATTTGAGATAACGAAGATCGTAACGATTGACATGCTGACATGTTTATGTACATTGGAACCTTGGTTTTTGAACTTAATTTGTTCCTAAAGGCTGTTTATGAACTGAAAAGTTTGAAAACTGAAACAGTTCTACCGATAGAAATCAATGTAAAATGGATTGCTCCGTTCCTGGATTGCTTATTCGAACTTTAACAGTATTTTGTGTACAGGTTCAAACATGTAACCAATCAAAATAATTAGATCTAACACAGTGGTATTAATAACAAACAAATGTATTTTATTTAATTTATCATTTAAAATTTCTGTTGTTAAAGGCAGCTCCAAGGTGCCTCCTATGTGGAGAAACGTAAATACTCCACGCAAATACTGCTGTATATAAAATTCCAAAGGTTGGATTTCTTTTGGATTCTTCTAATCTTATTGGTTCAGTGGAACTCTTCTACAGAACCTTTAGTTTCTCCATTAAATGTTTTATCGGGTTCAAGGCACATGATTGATTTGTGGGGCCATTTTATTTTCTGACTTTCTTTAAGCAGTTGTTACTTTCTTGTTTGTGTGTCGTGGTGTCACCTTCATCATCAAAGATGGCAGCAGACTTTGAAGAATGATAAATTGATCTTGGCACATTTTTCCATTTATTTTTTTAGTGTGCTGTGTGGTTACATATAGCACCTACAGGTTTACTTTGACAAGATTTCATCTTCACCATATTTCATAGGTTGGTCTAAATGTTGTTTATTTTTATTGTTTGCTTTCTGTGCAATCCATGGCAGTTGGGTGTTTTGCTATTTGTTCTCTTTAAAACCTCTGATTCCAGATTTCTGTAAAGCTGAAGATTGTGATGTTTTCAATACTTATTTCACAAATGACGGTCCATGTTTCTGAAGTAACTTAACAACTATATTTAAGTCTTTTTTTTACAGAACCTTTTTGTCAGAGTAGCACATTACCCACTGTATTATCTACTGCAGATGTGCAGGGACCCTATGGAGTGATTATAGTCCATGAATAAATGCACTTCACTTGAGTCCATCTGAACTGTGTGGGTGTGTGAATGGGGTTGAAGGTCAGTGCACTGTGCTACTGTTTGCTTGTTCTTACCAAGACGTTGTTAGTGTTATGTTTTAAAAGAAAAATATTTCCAAAACACTTTTAGAATCCATATTCCACCAATCCCCTCCTGGACTACAAATGGGGTCAGCCCATTGGCTGCTAAGGCAAAGTAACTGAAACAGATAGAGGTTGGTCGCCTGGTAACAGGAGCTAATGTGATTGGTGGCAGCTGTCAACAATGCAGGTGCAGGAGCCTGAGAGACAGTGAAGCAGAACGTTGTTTTCCAAGTGATTTGTTCCAGCCCTGCGCACATGCTGCCCTCACACGAAGAATCAGCAGTACCAATATTAGCCACACATAGGTGCTGTTGTCTAGTGTTTAACATAGCAGCTGGTGGACTCGCACCTGAAACCCAAGACCGCTTCCTTAACCACTAAGCCACCATTGCCCCATAATGAGTTGATGTCTAACACGCAGGATCGTCAGTGAAAACAAAAGTTTTGTTTAATTTCTTGCAGGGATTAATTATATTTACACTTAATTCAATTTCCAACAAGGATGCACATCACATAAAAAACGTTTAGCTGTTTCTGTATTTAAAGTGTGTCTAAACAGGAAGAGACATTAATACTGTGTGAGTGACTGGTGGAAATTATACTGTAGGTGGAGTCATTTGCATATTAGGCGAGTGTGTGCATGCATGTGTGTGTGCGTGTGTATGTCTTCTATCTAAACGTGTCACAGGTGTCAGATGGAATGCTGGAAAAATTAACATGTCACTTGAAATTAAATGTCACTGAGAAGGTTCCAGTATTAGATCAGGTTGAAAAGCTCTGATCATATTTGATGACCAGCTGCTCTCCTGTGAGTCCACGTGCCCTGAGCCGACTGGAGGCAGAATCCATTTAGAGGATAGAGGAAACGTACAGAAACCAATATTTCAGGACTTTCATTTCCTTCTGCTGAGCATTTGTCAAGAGGTGAAGAAGAGAGTGGACAAACAAAAACAAAAAACATGCTTTACCGCAAGAAGGTAACGGAATGTCTCTTTTTGTTGGATTTGCTGTTTTTCTCCAGGGAGCACAGTCTAGGGTTAGCTAAATTATTCACTCTTAATTGACCTTAGAATGAATAGTTTTCTGACTGGACAACTGTCTAGACAAGTTGAGTGCTGGGATTGGTTCATTCCAATGATCGCTGTTTGGTGGGAGTTCAAATAGTGAAAAGGCTTTTTAACTTTTTGTAATAATATTGTTGAAATAACTGTCTACAGCTCTTTAGTTTCACTGTTTACTCAAAGTAGGCATCTCTTATTGCAGTTGGTGAATGTTGTATTACCTTCCCATCGGCATCGGATGTGGGAGGAGTGTCGCCTGATGCAGAAATGCTGGCACTGTTTGCACCTGTGTGGTCAATGGCACTGCTTCCTGTGACAAAATGCCCCAAAGAAGTCGATCACTGGCAATCCAAACTGGGGTTAACAATAAAACCGTGCACCAGAAAGGCGCCCGAAAACCTGTTTGACGCATTCAGGCCAAAAGGCATGCGTAGGAACTAAAAAAAAAAATGGAGTAATCACTGCTGTGTTGGGTACAACCTCTGCCCTCACAGGAACCTGGTGTGAACCTGGAGTTTTCATAGAGAACTCCAAAATGATGGGAACTGGAGAAAGCTGCAAAACCCAAATCTCTGGCTGGTTTTCATTTATTCAGGAAACCTTAGACTTGTGCTTCATTCACAGAATAACATTTGAAAAGACTGATTAATGGTATGAGGGAAGGCATCTCCTTTTCGTGTTTTAAGACATGATACAGGGATTAGTGTTAGAAAACCACACTCAAAAAAGGGGCGGTATTTGTTGACTATAAAAGGAAGGGATGGAGGTGTCTCCATCATCACTAATCTGAAAGGTAATCATCAACTCGTTTCAAAGTTTTCCTTAAGCTAGATTCCAAAAGTGATCATCTGAATCACAGAAGCCTTTGGTTTTGATCTGTGCTGACTTGGGGAAGTTATTTGATGATTGACACCTGAGTAAACCAATCTGTTATTTTAAGGACTTTGTAAAGGTTCACCGTTATAATATAAAAATGATCATCTCTGCTTTCAGGCATCACTTGTTGGAAAACTGTCGGGTTGGTAACTGGCTAGTAGTGAATGGATCGTCTGTGTGGGGGCGTGGACGCACACCTGCAGACGATCCATTCATCACTGTGGAGTATTTAAGGACACCGGAAGACGGCGCCAGAGTGTTGTTCACGCCATGTGGGTAACTGACGGCTAGCTCTTGTTCGTTGTATGCTTTTTGAACCCCTACCTTGGCCGGGCATACACTGTACGATTTTAGCCCGTGGGTTTTTTTGACCCGATTTTTGAGACGCACGACCAGGCGACGCACGGCCCGATTTCACCTTTTGTCGGGCGTCTTTTTCCGTACAGTGTACAGGCAGTTTTCATCATTTCTGGGGATAAACGTCTATATGTTAAAGTGAAAGTCACTGGATGGCAGTATTACAGCTCATTTAATTTCATAAAGTTTTAAGCATGGGATTGTAACGCTGACATGTACCAGGATGCCTTGAGGAAGAAGGTGAGGTGACACACACAAATGTGGACACAAGCCTCAAAGTAAATACAGTATTTTTTTTCTTTTCTTTTCACTGCCAGCACTTTGTACTTGCATCATTTTCATTGCATTTATGCAGTTTTATTTTTTAAAGTCTGAAATTGATTTTACAAAGAGTTTTACTGCAAGTAAGAAACATGAGGCAAACAGGAAGAAACTTCAGAAGAAATATCAAAACATGTCGGGACATGGTGAGAAAAACTAAACTCTTGTTCTTCAGTATGATGGCAGTCAAAGCACTAAAAAATGTATGGCTATAACAGAGAACAATGACACAGTTCCCCTCTCCTTTATTTAATAAATGTGTTCCCCTTAGACTCTGGTGTATGTAAAAAAAAAAACATTTCATACACAGGGAGCCCAATTCTGAAGCCTGTGTTCAGATGTCTATCTGTATGAAACATTTTATATTTATGTTTCCATCCATTTTAATGTTACATTGTCAGTCAAATTTATAAAAAGCCCATTTTGATCCTTTTTACTGTTTTGTTTTTTCCCCTCTAGATTCACAGAGACTACGGGAAAATTGGTATAGAGGTGATTCTTGCCTGCTGCCAACGTAAGTCACTTGTAGCCTACTGTTCCAACAGCAGTTTTAGATCTGGACTGTTGACAGTCAACACGACCTTAAACAGTATGTCCACCAAGTCAGGATAATTTCATTATTATTATTATTATTATTATTATTATTATTATTGTTGTTGATCTTGTTATTAATGATTATTTGTATGAATATTATTATTTAATGGTACAATGATGCCATGGAAATGTGTGTGCTCTTCCTGTGTGTGTGTGTGTGTGTGTGTGTGTGTGTGAGAGTTATGATGTGACAAGTGTGTTTGCTGTCTTGGTTGTCATGAAAGAGTCTCTAACAGTTTACTCTGGAGTTGCTTAGCAACAGAGGTGTAGAGTGAGGTTGGTGTAGAAAGTAAACATTACTGTAAAGTCACGTTCCTCTCATAAAGGTATTTGGAAAAAAGAATATGTAAAGAAAAATTATATCACGAAATAACATGAAACTTATCACAAAATAACGTGAAAGTTATCACGTAATTATGTCATACCCAGCTGGTTTTTTGTGTGTGTGTGACAGCAATAGTTCAATAGTATTTATTAAAAAATCTAAAAGTTGATTTTTTTTTGTGTGTGTTTTACATGATGTATTAATTGTGCAAAGTAATTCATGATTTGTTAAAAAATGTTAGTGGCTATTGAAAATGGGACATAGTGATTTAACTTTTGTGTCGCAGAAGTGATCGTTTGAAAATGTTCAATTTGAAAAACATTTGAGAAAATATAGAAATAAAGTGTTGCAGATTGATATTTATCATTTTCCTCTCTTGTTAAATCCTTGTTGATATTTATTGTGAGAAATCATTAACATTATCAGTGTCTTCACATAGATGAATATCATTAATTATTAATAATAACATCTAGTCAAAGGTAAATTGAGCCAATTGTCCATTTCAGAAGTGTGTGTCGAACTGGTAGCCCTTCGCATTAACCAGTAGCCAGGAAGTAGCTCTCGGCTTGAACAAGGTTGGTGACCCCTGCTCTTAAGATTACCAAATCTACAAGTGAGTCACGTCAAAGTAGAATCATGCTGCCTTTGCGCAAACGTTAAAGCAGGAATTTAGAGGATTTTTCTGTCCCTCAGACAAACTCTTGATTTCTCCTCTTGTCTCCACTAATCCCATTTGATTTGGCGAAAATAAGCGCTTTTCTACCCTTTACAGGAAGTGACAAAATGTCATTATCAGGGTTTTCTTTACTGATCAAAGACATTTATATTGTATGTGCATTGTGTAACATCTAGACTGCATATGTTACACACACACACACACACACACACACACACACACACACACACACACACACTCACTCGTATCTCTTTTTCCACTTTGTTCTCCATGATATGGGTGATATGATGTTTGTTAAGGTTATAAAGTCTCTCAACTGTTTTAGTCACTTAACCCATGGTCACACATTGTCCTTCTTGTGGGTAATTTTTCTGTTATCATACGTTAGTTTTTGTTTATTTCAGACAGTGGACTAACAGACAGAAAGAGGCTGACAAAGTGTTGTTTTAGCTGTAATCTAAAATAAACCTAACTGTTTGTGTCCTGAAAAAAAAAACAAAAAAACAATAAATGCAAAGGTGGAGGATGAAACCTCTACATAAATGTTGCATCAGATGGAATGGAAGAATCTTTTACTGTACTGCGTGAAAGTACAAGACACAACATGTTCTGTTAAATGTATTTTTAAAATCATCACAACAGCATTGTATGTTTTTTTTTTTTTCTTTTAATCTGTATTTTCATATTACATTTTGCTGCTTCATTTTTATTATCACATTACAGAGATAGCATAAGGTCAGGGCTAATATATACTCAGGCTGACATCCGTTACTCAGTGCACTTCAGTATCAACAGATCCGAGCACAAAATGTTCCAACTTGTATTAACTGGGAAGGTTAACCATTTTCAAAACTTTTATCACAGTGGTGAAGCACCACATATGACCTGGAACAATCAGTGAGGCTGTGACTGCTGAGGACTGTTACAGAACTGAAGTCAAGTGTCACTCGTAGTCTCGCTCCACTGTACAGTCTGGCTTTGGTTGATAAAACAGGCCAATAATCTGTTTGTAATATATTTTGTTCTCAGCTGAACCAACTACTGTATTTACAGCCTGAGTCGTTCAAACTGCTGATAGCTAAATATGTATGTAATGGTTTGTGAGAAAGACAGTTAAGAACTGGTTAAGAACCACAGAATTAGCTTATAATTGCATATTTAAAGAGGAAACCAGTCTGATCTGTTCGGCGACCGATGAGGTGTATTAATGGCCCTAATGCCTTTGGAACTTTATTGTAAATAACGATGTACAGCAACTTGTATTTTTCTCCACCGTGCTTCACTCGCTCTCATCCTTCACTTCCCTCGCACCTCCAGCCACACCCACACACAGTCTCCCCACTCCACATTTATTTTCGTTCCAACTCTCAATAAGCATTTTACAGCTTATTATACATTTCTACATTAAATGTAATTTAAATACAATTTAATAGATAATATAAATTTCTATAATAAAATAAAGGTAGAAGTGAACAAAAATTACATTTGTGTTGTTTAACTAATATTTCTGTCCTGACAGATAGCTTTCTGGTCTGACTGTTTACAGTCCTCCTCCATTGCCAAGCCCACCTTCCACATTGTTATATTTGCAGGACTTCTCTGTTAATATCACATTAACCTGTCTTTCAGACAGGTTAATGTGATCTTTCATATGAAAAGCAAATAAGCCAAGAGATGCCTGCAGGGAGACAAGTGAACTAATTTTAAAAAACAGCTTAAAATGACAGACGTCTGGAGATAAATGTTCTGCACAACTATAATGTTCTGACAACAATGCTGTTCTCTGATACGTCTCTTTCCAGACTGTGGTGGACTTGTGTTATCTCCTGCCCCAGACAAACATAGGTACTCTAGTGGTCAGTATTGTCGTCATCATCTGCATGGTTCTTGCTAAAGAGCTGAATACTTTCCTCAGCAAAAAGATTCCTGTTCCTTTACCTATGGAGCTGCTGGCTGTGAGTACACATCAGGAATTATTTGTAATCAATCACAATTGTAATTAATCTTGATTAATTGTTATGAATTAAGATAATTGATCGTTATTGTTCTGTGTATGTGTGCTGAATCTTCAAGATAACATGCTGGTTCTTGGAATAACATTTAAAGCTGGAGGATTTTGGTGGAAAAAAAAAAACATTTTCCTGCACTGTGTTTAAGTAACATCATGTTTTGTTTGTTTTTTTGTACTCAAATTATTATACAGATTGTTTTTCTTCACAGTGTTGGTAATGCTACTGGCATGGATAAAGAAGGTTAAATAAGTCTTCAGTCATGACATGAGTTGTTATATGATAAATGATAACATGTACCCAAAAGCAAGTTTGGCAGGTGCTGAGATCAAAATTACCCTGCAGATATTTGAGGAACGATTGGACATGAAAGGAAATTATTTATAGTAAAAACTGTAACAACTTGATCACTTTTCAAAGAATACAAATATAATCATAACAAATAAGAATGTGATTGTGAGGTCACCCGTCAAATGCTTAGTCTCAGTTTAGCAGACCTTGTTGCCAAGATGGACAGAAGATACTGTAAAACAATGTCTCAGTAAGCCTTACTGTTTACTTACTACTGATTACTTAGTGTTTAGGCAGTTTTCTCATCCTGTTATTCAGTCAACAGACTCAGTAAGTACAACTGAACATTAACAACGGCAACCAGGGTGTTTTCTTATTCAATCACCTCACAGATAACATATCTCTTAGAATCCGTCCAGAGGTGAAATGATATGCACTGAGCTTCCATTAATACTACTGCGATCATTTACTTTATTATTATTCATGGTTTATGCAGACGGAATTAAATAGATCTTCAGAAATACAGACAATCGTGTTAGCTATATTTTACGTGTCGTACCAAGGCACAAAAAGACGTTAATGTTCACATAGTGTTGGGTACTTTGCCCTGTTCCTCAACAACAGTAGTTATTTGTCTTATCATCCGTCTCCTCAAGGTCTTTGTGGAAAGTACTGAGAAAGAAACATACTCCTGTATCAGTCTGTCCTGATACCAAGGGACTGGACAGCATTCTGCGGGGACACTCCTGGGTATGATGAACAATTCGACCAAGTCCCAAAGACGACTCCACTGAGGAAGAAGTCTTATTTGGAAGATAAGTTACGATATTGGGCGTAATTCTGAGTTTGGAGTTCCTGACCGAGAGTCTGGATACGACTGGATTTATTTCCTCTGGAAACACCACAGTAATACCACTAGAGGGGAAAAAGAAGAACCCATTTCGAAGAAGAACACAAGGTAATCAAAATTATACGATGAATGAGTAAGTATAATAAAATAAGGAGTTGTGCATCTGTCAGTCGTAACATGACGGGGGAAAAACTCGCAATGTTAAGAGTAAAGTCTTAAGTTTATGAGATAAAATAATACCAGAAATGACTAGCATCACCGTCACGGTAGCATCACTGTGGCTCGTTTACGTTTGCACTAATATTACGACGTTAACTCATAAATATATGATTTTATTTCACACATTTATGACTTTGTGCTTGTTTACTTCTCTTTGTTTTTCTTTGTAAACCTGCGACTTTTTTCTAACCGGTACAACTTTAGTCTCAAACTTTCAGCTTTTTTCTCGGAACGTTGCGACTTCATATCCGTAATTTTACCTTCCTCGTAGATTCAGATTATTTTTTTTGTTGTTTCAAAAATATTACAGACAGGTGTCCAGCTAAGTACAAAGAATTTTGGTTCATATAAAACATCAACCTAAAGAAAAATGCAACTTTTTTCATAAGGTTAAACATTAACCTTTTGAAAAAGAGATTAGGTAAAAGTTTTTTTTCTTTGTTTTACAGAAGTATTTAACTATGGCGGACAAAAGGTTGGGGTATAAGGTCCACAGGAGAATCCTGGATGAAACAGCTGTGGAGGAGATTGCAGAAAAGTCTGAGATGACCTTGTCTCTGTCTGAGAAGGTCAAAAAGTCAGTGAGGTAAAGCTGCTTGTAGCTAACACACAAAGACACATTAACAGTCAGGGAACAGTGTGAATTTAAGCGACACAGGCCCTTTAAATGTATGTCTGCCAGTAAAACAGACATGTTTGTTTTGCTGTTTTCAAGCAAGCTTAAAAATAGAGGTTTTCCAAAACTTAAAATCAAAAAAGTCTGAGGTGGTTTATTTTGTTCTCTGAATCCTAAAAGCTAAACTTAATATTACAGATTCTTACAGTATTTCTTACAAACTAATAACGCTTACACTTCTGCACCTACATAGAGCATGTAAGCACAAGCATTCATTTTCAGTTGAATTGATAACCTTGTGTTTGAAGTGAATGTTAAGTGAGAAATTAAGACAGTATTTACTATATGAATTTTTTTAATTAATTTGATTACGTTAGCTTTTACATAGAAGTACTTTTTGTACTTCTGTTTTAAAGAGTACTATTGTCAAAAAGCAAATCATTTGGGTCAAGTGTTGAGCAACCAAATGTAATTAAACCAGTGCAAAGTGTGGGGCGCACCCCTCTGGTGGGGAACGGTACATGTTTGAGACAAATTTGAGAACCACTGAATACTTTGTATATTAATTAAATAATTTCTCATTATTGTGAATTAATTACATTACATTTGTCATAGTCATGGGAGCATATCTTAATCATGATTTAAAAAGTGTATTTTAGTGCTGGAGATACGATACAGTGCATAAATGTACATTAATTAAAATAACTACAAATATTAGCGCTTGCAGGAAACATTTCTAAACAGGTGTGCTAATTTCAGTATAGCTGTAGTCAGAAGAAGTCATAGAAAACTGCAAGCAAAACACATGAGACACCCCGTTGCTTAAGAGCTTCAATGTTAGGACTAATGATTAGTACGACATACACTTTCATTCTTCAGTGTTTGCTTATTGAACTTGAATGTTTGTGTTTCTGTGTAAGAGAATCCTAAATTCCTCTAAATTATTTTAAGCTAAAATGTTTGCAGGCACATTGCCAGATGTTGAAAATGAAATAGTTTGAAACAGGGGAAAATGTTTTAAACAAAAACAAGGGCTTCTCACTCCTCTATTTTCTTCCTAATTACAAACAATCAAAGGTTACATAAGGTAAACCACACAGAGCACGCGGCGAGGTGACAGCAGGCCTTAGCTCAAGGATGATGAGGGGAAAAAGGGAAGAGATTTGGCGCCAGTCGGTTTAAATGGACGCCATCGACCAATCCACTCACAGGCTCCCTGTCATGTGATCCTGCAAGAAACAAAAGAAACCCACACACCCACATACACTGATAGAAGACAGAAACACACAAGTCTGGAGATAAAATGTTTGCAGGCACATTGCCAGATGTTGAAAATGAAATAGTTTCAAACAATACACTTTGTTTTCATGAAAGATAAAATAAATAAATAAACAAAATGTATTGACATGTTTTGTGATTGTATTTATACATTCAACAACAGATAAACCAGAAAACAACCTTTTTCTCATCAGCCAACTCCAACGATGCTTCTTGAATGAAAATATCAGCAAAGAATTCTCAATATAGCCAATTGATTGTCCTTGTCATGAGAAGACAATATGCTTTCTCTAAACATTTGTTGTGCTTCTGGTTGTAACAAAGAAAGTAAAGTAAAAATTCACAACAATCACGGTCCTGTAGAACAGTATTTGTGGAATAAGCTGAAAACCCCCAGGATTGATACTACATCTAAACATATACCATATATATTTGATTACTCTGTAACTTCATATCTCAGGTGCAGTGGTCCTCAGTTGAAGAGACACCTGCTGGACCGTCTCCCTGTCTTATCATGGCTACCTCATTACTCCATCAAGGAGAACCTCATAGGAGACCTGATCTCTGGAGTCAGTGTGGGCATCATGCATCTGCCACAGGGTGAGGATGGAAAGGGGGAACAACAGTGAAGTAGTTTTGAATGTAAAAATACAGTCTAATCATTCTGTGTTATCGCCACAGGTATGGCCTACGCCTTGCTGGCATCTGTTCCTCCTGTTTTTGGCCTTTACTCCTCTTTATACCCTCCTCTCATCTACTTTATCTTTGGAACATCCAAGCACATCTCCATAGGTTTGTACTTTTACATAACCTGCATCATACATACTTATATATCATTATTCTCCCTTTGAAATGTTATCTCCAAATATTAGAAGACAGGTGAGGAGAGGAGCGGAGAGGAGAGGAGAAGGGAGGTTTTAAGACAGGAAAGAAAAGGAAAGCAAATGAGGGAACATGAAGTGGAGAGACCAGATATATCTTACATATATATATATCTTAAGAAAAAGAAATTCTCCCCTCAATGAAATTATATAAATAGGATTAAATAGGTAAAACATTTTTGAGATACCCGGAACCTCGAGCTTTGTAAAATCATGGCTATTAGACAAACACAAAAAACAATTTCACAACAACACAAAGTATTGAGACATGAGTTTTATCTCTTTTTTTCTCCTCCAGGCACGTTTGCTGTGATGAGTGTCATGATAGGAGGAGTGACAGAACGACTAGCCCCTGACTCCAACTTTATGATATGGGACAATGTGACCAACGGCAGTATAGTTGATGCCGTGTCAAGGGACACGGAGAGGGTCAGAGTAGCAACAGCGGTCACCTTTATGACTGGATTATTCCAGGTAAATATTAAAAGAAAGGACTGAAACCAAACTGAACAGAGTACAGTTTGAGATTTAGTGGCTCTCTCATTGAGAACACAAGGTCTATCAAAATAACCTTTTCACTAACTGTTGAAAATAGACATTATTCATGGCAGGGATTAGCAATTATTTTCAGGGAATTGTTAAATGCTTCTTAAGTATAATGGTCTAGGTCATATTGACCTAGTTTTACTATTGTTGATGCTCAGGGATCCCCAACACCAGGCCTGGGACTACTACTGAGCAACAAAATGTTTATTTAGATTTTGTTTTCAATTAGGTTTGAAAGATATCCAAATTTGAAAAAAAAAAAAACAAAACACTCTTGTCAATACCTCTTTTCAGTGCTTGAATCAGTTGCAGTTTTCATATAACTGTAAAAACTCCAACTAACTAAAAAGTGCACTGGAGAACTTCTTCAAAAAGGGAGCAATGGGTAAATATTAGACAGAAATATTAGACAGACTAGTTAAAAGAAAATATCAAATCCTAAAATGAAAGTGCATGATATAAAAGAATGACATTAAATTAATATACATTATGTAATATTTAAATTACATATGATGTCCCCTCACCGACATCCTGTGTGGTGCAAAAAAGTTTGGGGATAACAAATAATCCTATTGGTTATTCTTGTATCATAAAAATAAAATCACTCATGCTTTAAACTGTACAATTCACACAGGCCACTCTTGACTATTGGAGTTGATGGTCATGAAAGAATGTCTTTGATGTGTCAAATGAAGATACTAATTCTAATCTTCCTTCACGTAGATAATGCTCGGTGTTCTCCAGTTTGGTTTCGTGGTGACCTACCTGTCTGAACCCCTGGTCAGAGGCTATACCACAGGGGCTTCTATCCATGTCATTGTGAGCCAGCTCAAATACACCTTTGGCATTAACCCTGTGAGATACAGTGGACCATTATCCTTGATATATGTAAGTTTTTGTATGTAAGTAATCAAAGAACAAGTACCTGGTACAAAGTTCCTGGTACACCTTTCCAGTTCTTTCTCTGATTCTCCTCTTAATGATAAACAAAACGTTAAAAATAGGAGCTGGTGGGCAGAGTTCAAGCATAGACCCCGGCCTTTGTAGTTTGTCCAGAATGAAGCTGACATGCTTACAAATATATGGAGAAAATTGGGTTTTTTGTTTGTATTGTCACTTCATGTATACTCCTTTGTCTAGCACTTTTCTAGAGCCGGTTTGGTTTCATGTCTGATGGTCCCAAAATAACTCAACTACATCTCTGCATCCAATTGACTTCAGCTCTGCAATGACATTTGTGTTGTTTGTTTAACATGTGTTTTGTCCCCAGTCTAGGGGAACTGGTACGTAGCACAATTTGTAGCCCCCCTTTCGCTTCTCGTCCCCAAGAATGAAAGTCTAAAAGTTTATAGTTTTAAAGCAGCATTTAATTTTCTGAGGAAGTGAGGAAACAATGCCAACATACAACAAACAAAACTAAGAGGACCCTGCTCTTTCCTCCAACAAACAAAAGAAAACAAAATACAGGGTTTTAACCTAAGCTCACTATCAGAATTTTTTTAAAACAAAAACAAGGGCAATCAAAGGTTACATAAGGTAAACCACACAGAGCACGCGGCGAGGTGACAGCAGGCCTTAGCTCAAGGATGATGAGGGGAAAAAGGGAAGAGATCTGGCGCCAGTCGGTTTAAATGGACGCCATCGACCAATCCACTCACAGGCTCCCTGTCATGTGATCCTGCAAGAAACAAAAGAAACCCACACACCCACATACACTGATAGAAGACAGAAACACACAAGTCTGGAGATAAATGTTCTGCACAACTATAATGTTCTGACAACAATGCTGTTCTCTGATACGTCTCTTTCCAGACTGTGGTGGACTTGTGTTATCTCCTGCCCCAGACAAACATAGGTACTCTAGTGGTCAGTATTGTCGTCATCATCTGCATGGTTCTTGCTAAAGAGCTGAATACTTTCCTCAGCAAAAAGATTCCTGTTCCTTTACCTATGGAGCTGCTGGCTGTGAGTACACATCAGGAATTATTTGTAATCAATCACAATTGTAATTAATCTTATCTTATTATTAGTCAAGATAATTTGACATTCCCAAATATGAAAACTGTGCACTGTGTTTAAATACAAATGCAAGACTGTATTGACTGAGTATTACAGTAGAACAATGATAAGTGGATGGACAATGAGATTGTTGGATATATGTTGCATGTCATTCCCGCAATGATTTAAAATGGGTTATAAAATCAAATCTTATACATTTCAAAAATGAATGAACCTGATTCATTTTGATAGCCCTAGTACAAACTGATATATTTTATTGTGACCTTCTTTAGGTTGCAATTGGAACAGTCATCTCCTGGCAGGTTAATCTAGAAGATAAATATGGAGTAGCTGTGGTGGGGAATATTCCCTCAGGGTAAGAAAAGTATCAAAAATTATGTATGTGGTCTAATGGGCAATATATACAGTGTGTTTTTTTCCAATCAGTCTCCTGCCACCCACGTTCCCACCAGCCTCTCTGTTCGGTCAGGTGATTGGAGACGCTTTCGCTCTGGCTGTGGTTGGTTATGGTATTGCCATCTCACTGGGAAGAATCTTAGCCATAAAATATGGATACCAGGTGGACAGCAACCAGGTAGGTACAGAAATGTATAGATATTTTTTCTTAATACAATGGTCTCAGACCCCTGGCCCGGGGACCACTTCCAGCCCACAAATGCCCTATTTGAGTTTGAGTCCCCTGCTTTACCACATCAAATACTAAAAGTTTGTTTTTAATTATCAAGGAATTAATTGCTCTTGGTCTGAGCAACTCTGTGGGATCAATGTTCCAGTGTTTTTCTGTCAGCAGCTCCATGTCTCGCACCATGGTGCAGGTCAACACAGGAGGGAACACTCAGGTGAGTGGAAAACAAATGGAAAGGCTAAAGGTCATGACATCCTGAGGTTTTATCTAACTTCCATACAAAACAAGCTGCAGCGTACTGCTACTATTAATTATTATTAACTATTAATTGTCTTTTTTAAGATTTAATTTTTTTGGGGGTCTCTTGTGTTGTTTATACAGACTGATATACTAGCATATTTAGGGGACAGTAATGGAAACAAATCAGTTCTCACATCTAGTAAACAAACCAAATGTTGCTGAAACCATTAGGTCTGACAACACCATTAATCAGCAAAGCTTCATTAGACAGAGGGGAAAGAGGAGCCGAGGGGAGGGCGAGGAAATAGAGAAGACAACAGAAGAGTATACAAAACTGGAGACGGGAGGAAAGCAAAGGAGAGAAGAGATGAGGAAATGAGAGGGGAGGAGGGGAGATGAGATGACAGGATAGGAGAGGGAAGAAGAGGTGATGAAAGGTGAGGAGAGGAGAGTTAGGGAAGATGCTACCTTAATCTCCTCTTTGTTTCTCACTCATTCTTGTCTTCTCTCTCTGCAGATTGCTGCAGCTGTGTCATCTGTAATTATTCTTTGTATTGTGCTGTGGATTGGCTATCTCTTTGAGAGTCTGCCCAAGGTATGATGATGTGTGTAATTGAACAGTACAATATTATAGGATTACTAGTGTAACAGTTATCAATAACAGTTATTGTGCTTCAGGCTAAACTTGATTTACATTGAATGTTAGGATTAGATAAACTGATCACCGACTTCCAGGATGAAATGCCACATTTTAAACAGTTCATTATTTGATTTCAGGCAGTGCTGTCTGCCATAATCTATGTCAACCTTCAAGGTATGTTGAAGCAGCTTGTAGACATTCCTGTCCTGTGGAAGAAGAACAAAGTGGACGCAGTAAGACACATTATAAACTATAACATTATTGATCTCTTTAACAGCATGACATTTCTGTATTTTTAATCTTCTACTGTGATTTAATTTGATGTCTTTTATATATCCCTCAAAGATACAGTATATTAGGTTTATTGTAGTTTGTTTATTACGTTTGATATTATAACCAGGGTTTGTGGACAAAGGTACCGTAAATTTACTCAAAACTTGTAATATGTTTGGATTTTTTTTATAAAGAATATTTTTGAACTGAAAAAAAATTTGAGATATCTGTTAAGATCCAGATTAATTGAATTGCATTAGTAATTGCAGTAAGAGCGTAACATATTTAATGGACACTGTATTTTTCATTTTATGCAACATAGCATCTTGCCTGACAAGCCGCAGTTTACCTTTACCAGTGGATTTGGTTTAACATTATACCGATGACTCCCTGCTGTGCTCCAGGTAATCTGGGTGTCCACCTTCATCCTCACTCTGCTACTGAACCCTGATATAGGACTGGCTGCTTCCATCGCCTTCTCCATGCTCACAGTCATCATCAGGACACAATTGTAGGAACAAGTCACTACCAGGCCACCACACTCAGGATGAAGGAGTCTGAGCGTGTGCCTGTTCAAATTATTGCATTGTATGATCAAACTCAAACTGTTTTAAGTAGTTAAAGGGAAGAAATATTTGTTTTGTGTTTTCCAGACCTAAATATTCTCTGTTAGGACAAGTTCATGGCAGTGACATCTACAAACCACTGGAAGACTTTCATCAGGTATGGGACAACAACATGCACTCAGTCCACGTCTTCTGCTCAGTCCGATTTACAGGAGACCTGTGACAAAGCCCAGCAGTCACTGGGCAGGGCGGTGTTGTACGCCCGGACAGTTCACTCGCTCATGTCAGGGACCACATATCAAGACGAATCATATTCATACAGGAAAAACCTTCTCATACTTTTTTGTCTTCCACATTTTGGCATTTGTACAGCCATGGCAAGTTTATTAGAAAATTATAATTAATGCACGTGGCTCAAAATGGGCAGTAGCATGTTGCTATAATAATATTATTACATTAACAAGTTTTAATAAAGCCATGTATTTTATGTGGTAAAATCAGAATTACAGTAAGATGCTGTAACATGATAGCACAAATGAAACCCTCAGAGTGTGATTTATAGATGACAATTAAAATTCCAAGCTGCATATTAGTATTGTTTTGAAGTTTAATGAAAGCAGCAGGAAACAACTGTAAATGAGCCGACAGTCTCTGCAGATGTTTATGGAGTTTGGCTCACAGATGGTGAGCAAAACGAAAACTAAATATAACATCTCTCTCTCTCTCACTCTCACTCACTCTCTGTCCTCTTGGTGACCACTTAAAACTCATCATGCTACAGTTTTGCCCTTCACCCACTCACATGCACAGACTCTCTACAGTAATTTTATGCTGTATGCAGAACTGTCTTTCACACATCTGTGGCACTGCACATATTCATGTGATCATCACCAATAAAAATATGTGGCTCAACAAAAACACGTTTGAAAAAAAATTGCTGAGATGAAGAAGTCCAGCAGTCGTTCTGGGGCCACTGTTCCTGGGTCAGATTCTTCAAGACAACCAAAACATTTTTTGTTTGTTTTGTCTTTTTTTAAAATAGGTGTTCAAGTGTTGAAGATGTATGTCAGGTGTATTGATTTTCTCTGTCATTGTAAATAATTAATTCTGTGGCCGGCTAATTGATTTATTTTTTATTTTTTAGGTGAAGCCAGTTCCAGGCATTGTGATCTTCCGTTCATCTGCCACACTTTACTTCGCAAACGCAGAGATGTATCAAGATGCTCTCAAGATTAAGGTTAGGACATGAACACACACAAGCCTACGTGCAGTCTCCCAATAAAAAGGAGAACAGTCGTCCTTAGTTATTTTAACTGCTTTTAATGCCCTTTTACATTTTTTCTCACAGTTACAACTGACTCTACCACGTTCACACACCATGACTTTGACAGACATTGTTCATATTTTCTTTTCTTTTGCCCCTATTCACTAAATGCTGAATAGAAGAGTAAATGACACCCCCGCTCCCCTCACATCAAACATGAGATCCGTTTTTCCTCTTCTGTCATGTCTCCTTGGGGTAAATAGAAGACAGACTGAAGAAAGATGGGAAGAAGATGACAAAAGATGGGAGACGGGGGTCCGGCAGTGAATTGAATTAGGAAGGAAGATAATAGGAAGAAGCTTCATTCATTAAAATGTCAAAGTGTCACATGCACAGAGCTGCACTATTCTTTCAGACGTGCGATGCACAGATAATGATTCCCAGAAGGCATAGAGGCCACCGGCTTATTTACAAGGGTGAGAAACTGACACCAGATCAATAAAAGTGTGCATCTCACCAGTCAGTTTGCATCCGAGGGTACTTGTATAAAGAGGGAACAGGGGCGTTCTCTGAGTTGGGGATCACTTTGTGAATTTGTGCATAAAGCGGAGATTTGTTTTTGGAATGGTGAAATTCAAATTCTACCTTGTTGTGGTGATGTGTTTTGCATCGCACTGTAACTGATCAGAGTGCAGTGTTTCTGCACTATCAATCTAGAGCAGTGGTTCTCAATTCTTTTCTGTCATCCCCCCGACCCACACCCCGCAGATTGAAATACTATTAAGAACCTGATAACATGTTTATTTTTATCTGTATGAGCTGCTGCCACCTAGTGACTGGAGGCTTGTTATTACAGCAGTGGTACATTTATGTCCAACCTGCCATATTCCATTGGAAGCCCCTCACGCCCCCTAGTGGCACCTTACTGCCCCACTATTTGAGAAGTACTGGCTTCGAGAGTGATACCGTCTGACTGTAGGGCTTCAAGGCTGCTTTTTTTTTCTGGCTGTTAAGTGTAAATGACACCACATATGTCCACATATATGGTGAAAATATAGGGATGTTTTTTTTAATATACTGGTATATAGTTTTTGTTATTTTATGGTAACCTTGGTTACTTTGGTTTGTTTTTAGCTTTTTTCTAACCACAACACTTTCCTGATTCTTTCTTAAGGATTACTTAAGACATAGAACCTGTTTCAAAGAGTATAAAATGCATTGCCACAATCCCACAGAAAAACAAACAAAAAGAATTATGTGTTTTGTGTTGTGTGTGCTTAGTTGATTTTGGAGGGTTGGGGTTGGGGTGGGGTTACATACTGACAACGAAACATTTTTGTTTCCAGTGGATATATGTGCATTGTTCTAGACATCCAACTCTGATGCTTTAAATAATGACTAATCCAGTTTATCTTACTTATTAGTCTGGTATTGATGTTGCCATGATCCTGTCAACAAAGAAGAAACTGGAGGAAAAAATTAAAAAATTAGAGGAGCAAAATGTCAGGAATCAACAGCAGGTGAAGTGCAACCTTTTCCCCAAGGTTCCCTGTGCAAGCATTAAAGTCTCCCCATTCGTCACTGATGCATTCAGTGTCCTTCCTCCTCCTCCTTCCTCCTAGGAGCCAGATGAAGACATTGCTGCCATTCAAGTGGAGTCTGAGCCTGCCCCAACACTCCCCAGAGCCGTCATCCTGGACCTGAGTCCAGTCAACTTTCTGGACACAATGGGAGTCAAAACACTGAGCAACGTAAGTATGTTCATATTATTGTCCTTTAGTTTGAGCAGAAACTTTTACAACAGCCATAACTCCACAGCCACATTCATCAGTCTCTTAATCACTCAGATGCCACAGTTGTTAGTTAGGATCAATAAGACTGTTGGACTGATGGAATGATTCCAGGTTTGATCTTGTCCTGTCTCTTTCAGATCCATAAGGGCTACGCATCAGTGGGTATCGACGTGTTTCTCACGGGCTGTCAGAGTAAGTCTACACGTGTCGTTGCAATAAGTGAATATTTGAAAATGTCTTAGGTTTCTACATTTTTAAAGAGACAAAATGTAAAATTTTGGTTATTTAGAAGCAACTTACAATGGGTTTACACTGTCCTCAACCTGTCATTCCGTGGTTACGTCACCATATCCCATAAATAGATGTATTGCTCCATCATCCAAACGTACGGCATAAAAAACCTGGCGATCGGTTCACATGAGAACTAACGAATATGCGAACGAATATGTCCTACCGTATACCTGGAATACGGCTTTGTTTACATTGGGGCGTACATGCTGTACTGGCAAATCATGAGACAGACTTTTCTGACTTTACCACCGTGTTAGTTCAGGTGAGTCACAGCTACCTATGTACAGCATATGAGTTCAGACCTGCTGTATCACCAGTTTGGCCACGGTGTGTCTGTCTTCACAGCTGTCGTGGTGGAAAACCTGCAAACCGGAGGTTTCTTTGATGAAAAAGTCACAAAATCCTGTCTGTTCTCCACCATCCATGATGCTGTTTTGCACAGTCAGTCGTCCAGTGAACCAAATGAGGTAATGTATCATCAAAATGCTTAATGATGTCTCGCTCACAAATTTAGCATTGAAATGATATTTCTTAGACTTTAAATGTACACTAAGGTTTTTGTCTTTGATATAATTATTGTTGACTATATGTTAATAGTATAATGGCGTATACTATATACTGTACTAGTATATAGATATCATAAATATTAGGAAAAACCCAGGTTTTTAAGCTTCTCTTGAGTTTTTCTTAAGTCCCCTCGTCCTTGTAAATACAACTGTTGTTGGGATCCTTAACATGGTCCATGGTTTGACTTTGTTTTCACTGCAATTTACTTTGCCTCTAATTGTTTTTCCTTCAACATTTACTGAAAGTCTTATTTTGTTCTCACTGAAATATGTCTCCCCACTCTCTTTTTCCCTCTGGGTTTTTCCTCCTCATCTGTTGTTTGATATAAATATTTTTCATTATTTCTGTGGTCATGATATAACAGGACATCACATGGACACAGTTCTGAGTCATGAGACGAAAGATGGAAGACGTCATTAATCATATCGTCAAACAACTGGACCTCTGGCTGCACACTCTGGGACATTTTTCTTGGGACATTTTAACTCTATCTTAGAAACTTCATTTTAAAACTAGATCTTGTTTATGCACCTCAACCATTTACCAATTACCAGTATTTCAAAAGGCTTTTATTAAAAAGTTTCCACTTGATTGTTTTGTTTTAAATACATTTTAAACAAATTATATTTAGTGTGTTTCACAATTATTTATGTTTGAAAACAGGATTTGAAATCTAAATGATGTACATTATTATAATTACTGTTCTCCTACACAGCCTCATTATAGATGGCATTAAGCTTGGCTACAGAAGTCAGGAAGTACTGTGGAAAAGATGTTGACTGAGGAAATTGACGTGAAGTCAAGTCTGGTTAGTTTACATGCAAAAACCATGAATTCCATCCTGTGCCTGCTGTATCGTACAGTAGCTCATTTCAATGACATCAGTTGAGTTATTAATTTAAATGTATTGTCAATCTTAACAATACATCTGTAGATACAGGCTCAGTCTGTTTCCTTAGAGCGCTCTTCCAACTCAGTGGTTTCATGTGATTGCATGCAAAGAGGTCATTTCCTCATCAAGCAGACATTTTTAGATGCTTTTGTTTATTTTTCACATCCTTTTCCTGATTCAAGAATGCAAATTGGTGTGTTAACTCAAACTGGTGTTAACTCAAACTGGTGTTAACTCAAACTGGTGTTAACTCAAACTGCTCTCTCTTAATTTGCTCTCCTAGTTGAAGAGTAAGAAACTATATTTGTATTTTCAAAAGCCTGTTTACACACATTCCATTTTGCAGTGCAATTTTTGCCTCAAGCAGCATACTTGGTATAGTACAAGTATTTGTACTTGTTTTAAGCTAAGTTTATTTAGTGGTGTGTTGTTAGCCACATGTGGGCAGTCAAAGAGGCTGATGGGTTTGGAGTGGGCTCACAGTACTGTTTAGTGTTTATATCAATGAATGTTTAACTTCCTCTGGTGGTAATTTATTGAATTCCAGGTTTTAAAAAGATTTATATTGCAAGTTTTGTGGTGATAAGACCTTATATACATTTATATATATATTTTGTCATTTCCTATATACATATTTTGTGTGTGTGTATGTATATATATACCCACACACATATGTGTATATATATATATATATATATATATATATATATATATATATATATATACAGTACATATGTATATACGTATATACATTTTTTTTAACTTTTTTTCGTTACTGGTGCAATTGTTTTATTCCTTCATAGTAAATTTATGATAATTTTATTCGTTTAAATTACCTTCCGTAACAACAGACAGTGACATGATTTACTGACCGCATGGACCCGCAAGTCCTTGTGAAATAGAGCTCTGTTTAAAGGTTAGAGTTCACATATGTTTGTGGTTCCAGTTTTGGTTGTATGACTTGATGAGGTATTCTGACACTGCGCACACGTGTGTGTGTGTGTGGAGAGAGAGAGAGAGGGAGAAAGAGAGAGAGAGAGAGAGGAGGTGGGGTATGGGTGAAGGCTCATTTGGTTTCTCTTCAAACGTCGCGTACTGCATTCTTCCTGTGGCGGGTGGCGAGAATAGAGGGAGAGACGTAGACAGTGTAGAGTAAGAGGGACTGAGAAAAAGAAAGAAAAAAGAGAGGGTAAGAGAGAGCAAGAGTCCAGAGAAGAAGCTGAAACTTGGCTGCAGACGCACAGGTTAGATCCATCTTCTTAATCTAAATCATCAATTTTCTTCTAACAGGTGCATCGTTCTTTGGTGCATCATTAAGAAGTAATTGCATTAATTGAGCAGATACAGTGTTCGAGAACTCAAGAATGTCGGTGTCAATTAGAAGAACTTTCCTCTATAGACGTACGTGCGAGATCCGTTATTCTACTCTAATATCATCTTTTTAAAACACGTCTCAAATATGACGGTGCACGCTGCTCTGCAGGCTTTAACACCGATGTACAACGATGCCATGAACCAATAGCGTCCTCCTGTGCAGCCATACGCGGGATCTTTGCACCACAGATGAAAACAAACCAGTCTTTTTCGGCACATTCCTACAGAGGATCCCCCCTCTGTCCGCGCGTGTTTGGCTTCTTTCTGCAAATGTATGGTGATGCTGTCTGTCTTTCTTCGTTAACCAATGCTTCAGTCGTGTGCGCTGCTTCTTGCAGCAGCTGAATTGTGCCATAAGTCCCGCGGGGGTGCGCACTGAAAGCGACGTCCGCGCTTCCAAAGCATTGCTGACGTTGCCGAATGATGGGAATCTGCAGCAGTCATAATATGAAAGCGTGATGAATGGCTAATGGACTTGAGTCATCTTTATCAGACTGGTTATCTACGCCTATAAATATTGAAGTGTGAGCATTTGCAGCCTGTCAGGTCACCCAACCTGAAAGGTGACACCTGAGCTTTACACCGGGGCTATTTTTTCCTGGAGCGGTTTGCCTGCTTTCTCATACTGTACTGTGCAAGGTGTGTGTGTGTGTGTGTAAATATATATATATAGTGCGGAAATGTTAAAGGTTTGCTTAAGAGATGGTGTATCCTTTCCAAGAACTTTATATTCCATTCCATTTATCACAATGTGCTTCAGTGTTTGTTTTAATTTTATAATTACATTCATTGTTTGCTATTTTAATGCATCCTGTTGTGTGTAGCCCCTACAGTGTAAAATGTAAAATCAAAAGCTGAAATTTTCATTTATTAATAAATGCAGGTTATAGTAGTAACCTACTTTAAGAAGTCTTTCAAATTCTTCCTTGTTTTAAGCACAGTTCATGTACTTCTAACCACTTCTAACTCTTGGTTATTTGTCTGCCCTAAGTGATTCCCCAGCCTAACATACTGTATAGCTAATATGTTAGCCTTCTGAATTCGACTTTTGGTTATTCTTGGGTGTATTTTTTAAAATGAGCTTGGTCGCTTTAATTCAGTCCAGTCGATGTAGACATTAAGCTTACCGTAGCGGATCTCTGAGAAAACCTTAGCCTCGTCTCTGATAAATGGGAGAGTTGTGTAATGAAGGGCATCAGAGTAAAACCAAGTCACATATGTGAACTATCTGCTGTGGGAGACCTTCAAAAAAATGTGCAGCTGAGAGTCATTTAACTGTTTTGCGTAGTTTTCTAATCCTCACGTTGGGTTGCTTCTTGAAGTGGTGGAGTAAAGGGTGGGGGAACATTTCTGTCTATTTGAAGAGGTTGGAAGTTGTGCAGACCTGGCCAGAGGCCAGATTAAGGCTTGTCAAAGGTAGCACTGCGCTTTGATCTCTGTTCCTTGGATAAGTTAAGGTCCTTTGATATTTTCTCCTACCTGTCCGGAAAGTCCAACACTAAAAAGAAGAGGCAAATGGTAGATGAGGAGGCAGTGATGCAACGTCACACATGACAAATGCTGCCAAACACCACAGAGGATCAGTAATTCAGAGAGAGCAAGATGGCGAGCAAGATGGCCATGAAGCACTGGAGACGACTACAACAAATAGTCAAAGATGTCAAGAAGGACGTTTTAAAGACAATAGGTAAATGACACAGAGATGAAATAAAGACAAGGCAGTCATAAAAGAAAGTAATGTTGGATGACTGAAGCCGACTGTTTATATATCACAGCCAATCACACTTGAGGTCGATTAGCAGTTTTGTTTTATAGTAATTAGCATCACTTTCACTTAGTTATACTGTAATTATGTCTTCCTCTTGGATTAAAGGGTGGATATATATTGTCTTTTATCAGAGTTTTTTAATACCGAGGTTGAAATGTATATCCCTGTTAGAAAATACTTTCAGTGTCCTGTAACAACTTTTATTATGTGACATCTATCTAGTACAGAACAACACTGGCAGAAGTTGAAAGGGAAAATTCATTTTTAAAAGCGCTATAAAAAAAACTAGTAAGACGTAACAGAATAGCTGCCAACCAGTACGGACCTGTTAAAAATAGCCTTGTGGAAGAACACACCTTGAAGCCAAACTAAGAAAAGTAGAATATTGAGGAGACGTTGGCGCTGTCCCTTAAATCCCTTAAATGTCAAGTGTAACCTGCAGATTAGAATCTGAAGATCAGAGAGATTGGGAAAAGAAGAGTAACCTTTGACCTGGGTAAGGGTAGTGTAAATGTTGATGTTGATGAATGTATGCACCGTCAGAAACTTAGTATTTAGTTTGGAATTATGCGTCCTTAATTTTTAGATTAGATTTAGATTAGATGAGGCAAAATAGACTTTAGAGTAAAATAGACAGAACACAGCACTTAAATAAAAGTATTTTTTTAAATGAAAATGTTTTATGCTGCACGTGTTGTAATAATAATAATAATAATAATTTTGGACGTAATGGGTTGTATTAAGTGTCTGTGAAGAGAAGGTTTAGTGCGTGTGCGTATGTGCGCGCGCGCGCGAGGGACAGCGAAAGAGAGAGAGACCTTGGTGAAAATCGGCCATATGGTCTTGTGACGTAACACTCGGACAGCGTGTGCGCGTTTGTGTGTTAACGGTGTGTATGTGCTTTTCTGTTGACGAGAGTGTGTTTTGTGCATGTTGGGATTATAACCGACATATTCCTAACCGACTAATCCTGTCATCGCAAACATTGCCTATAGTCGGAATAATGCGTGCGGTGACCGCCGCCACCTGCCTGCTCGCCGCCGGCTTAAGCTGCTTTTTCTACGGCAGCGACGTATTACCGCTGCTCGGTGGTTTGTCTCTTTCAGACCCAGCATCCATGCCGGAGCGGCGGAGCCCGCAGGGAGTCCTGTACACGGACCTCCAGCACATTGTCAACGCCGACGGACTGCACCTGTTCTGCCGCTACTGGGAGCCTGTGGAGCCGCCAAGGTTTGTGCAATGAATACATAAATAGAATGCCAAGGGGAAATGGCAACGGAAACAACCACATAAACACACAAACATTCGTACACACTCACCCACACATCCTCTCCCTCCCTTAACACTTGTTTAAATGTGTTTTTATTTATAGCCATTGTTCTGTAGCTCACTGTGAAAACCCTGCTCACAGGGTCGTTAAATTTCGAACTGCTGGGGTCACATGAGGTCCAACCGTACGGCCATGAGGGCAGTTAGGTGTATGTTACTGTTTAAACCAGTGGGGCAAACGTACGAGTAAATAAAAAGGGATGAACCTCGTTTGCTTGTTTCCCCACTGCAAAAAGAAACGGTATCAATCACGTAGAGAATTTGGCTACCTGTCTTTTATGCTATGTATAAACTGACTCCAGTAGCCATTCTCCTGAAACATCACAGTCGGTGGTATAGAACAAGATGCAACTTATTAATAAATGTGATCCATTTAAGAGGAGAAAGCATGTGAGTACAGTATGACAGGACACAGTATCAATGGCGGCTGCAGCCACAGTATTTGTCGCCTTGGGAAAATGAGGTCCTCCTTCAAACCTTTCCACTTCTGCTTTCACACCAAAAATGTAATTCACACAAGCAGAGCAGACAGAGTTTCAAAATGAATTGTCAATTGGAAAGTAATACAAATTATAAATGTAAAGAGCAATTGTTTTTAAAGAAGAATTGAAACTAGCGATATACAGATTTACTCAATTTTTGTTGTAAGGTAGAACGGACGTACTGTACTGTACATCAGTACAGTACGTCACTCACCCACGCCAACACAGTGGAGTTACATCTTGGAAGTCATAATGAAGGGCTGAAAGTTCCCAAAGAAATAACATAAATTAAAAAGAAAGCCTATGTAGCATTATCTAATCCACCTTGTTATTAATCAGATTAAACTGTTTAAATCATTCAGTGCCTTATTTTGTTTATTGTATTTGTCTGATTTAAGTTTAAGTTTTTGTTACTCCACGTCAAACTGGTCGTCTGGTGTAATTTTACACGTGTCTTTGACATCCCCATGTGTTAAACATATGGGTTTACTGCACAGAACTTAACACAACTTTTACATATGAATGTAGTCATGAGCCATGTGTACAAACCTAGTGCAGTATGTGAGAAGATAGGAACAGTCTGTCCTGAGTAGTTTTCTGGCTCCACTTCAAACTAATTATTTAGTCAAACAATTGTTTCTTCCAAATCCGGTATTAATGCTAACTGGGACATTTAAGCTGAAGAGTACATATGCTTTAGTCCTGTGTTTAGTGGGCATTAGCACATTTATTAATTAGCAGCAGCAGCCTTTGCTTTAGCCATTCAGATGAGTGTTTAGTTTTCAGAGATACTGAGGAACCAAACCTTTCATTATCTCTCAGAGTTTGTCCACAGTGATGTCTTTATACACATGTCCTCAGGGGAACATTATCTTGTCCTGGTTCTGTCCAAGTCTGATTGAACTAACTAAATGTAACCTTTAATGATAACTTACATGCCTAATGATGTGAATTTCACATTTCAGCCTTCGACGTGAGAAATTGACAAACATTCAAAAGGTTGTTGTTAAGACGTGGCTAAAGTTCAATATAGATATGAGATGTTACATCTGGTTTTAACCAAATAACAGTCCATAACACAAACACTGGTATCGGTGTCACCACCCTTACCTGTGCTGATCCCACGACCTTTTCCTCTGGCATAACAGCTTTTTTTTAACACAACCAGTCAGTCAGTGCTTGGCACTTCTCTGCCTCCAGTTTGGTGTCTCATTGGCCTCATGGGTAGTTTGTAGATTTGTTAACATCAGAGACAAAGACAAGAGTTGGACCTAATGTAAAACATGTTCTGTTAGGAAACAAACACCTTAACAAAACTAAAGATTTTTTCAGGCATGTCCAATACTCTGTCGGTTTGAAGACTTAAATAGAGTTGGTTTTTTTTCCTTTGTATTGAAATGACCTCTCCACGGTTGTAACAGTGAGGTAGTTAAATGGTAATTGTTGTTGAAGTTAAATACCTTTAGTGTATTATTGTGTGTTTTGATGTAATAACATACACTATGCTATTCAGTGGGGTTCTTACAAACGTCTTCAAAATCTTCATCGTCATTTTACAGCTCCTCTGGTTAGTAGTGGTCTACCATAACAAAGAAAACAAACAATATTTACATGTAAGTGTACATTATTGCTGCCCATTGAATCAGATCACTTGAATGTTGAAAGTATAATCACGACTGCTGCAGGTCTCTCCGTGTTTCAGAGATGAGTCTTTGTTTTGCTTACATAAGAGCTCTTCAACTGCAGGCTAGTCAGTGACACATGTACTCATGAAAGAGAGAGAGTCCACAACAGGCCGTGTTGTGTTGTAGTGATCCAATCTTAATACTGAAGACATTAGAGGCTATTTTTACTTAGTTTTAATGCTGTGTTGTTTATGTTTGTGGCTCCACTAAAACCCAGGTTGTGTAAATGCTTTTTGGAGCTTGTGGCTGCAGTAGATTCTCAGGCACTGCAGTTGTTGGACGTCCCATATGGAGACAAAGAATATTTTCAGTAAAACCACAGACTTTACTACACCCTATTGCTAGGAGTGGATGTAGCGAGTTTGAAAAGTGTACTTTTAATGAAGAGACTAGCGTATGACAAGCACTTGTTGTACAAGTTAATTATGAACTATGTTTTGTTAGCTTGAGGCCATTGTCAAGGAAGTTCACACAGTGATAATGAAACCCTCAAAGAGTCATCTAGAATTTCCTACGGTGGCGGTGTAAATATCTCATGTTTCACTGGTGTGTGCAGTGAAACAGGAAGGATTTTAATTAGTTTGAATGCTGTGTTGTTTATGTTTGTTGCTCCACTAAAACTCAGGCTGTAAATGCTTTTTGGAGCTTGTGGCTGCAGCAGATTCTCAGGCACTGCAGTTGTTGCAGGTCCCATATGGAATCAGAATGTTTTCAGTAAAACCACACGCTGGTGTGTGCAGTAAAACAGGAAGTGTGTTGCACTGTGGTCAACATTCAGAGCAGCAATGAGGAACAGTAACTTGTGGTGCTTTTTTAGTCTTGAGACAAGAGTGTCAACTGACAGGGAAAACTGACAGCAGTGAATAAACACACAGACACGTGTACTGAAGATGGTTTTTGTTTCTTTTCTTGTGTGCACTACCAAGAAGAATAATGCAATGTGCCAAATGTGTCTCCACAATAAAAAAAAAAAACACAGGCATAGTAAGTATAATTTACCCTAAAAGTAGAGAGTATTCTCAAGGAAATATACATAAAAAAGGTTTTGGGTTTTTGCTCCATTCCAGGGTTTCAGCTGTATAGTGTCCATTAGGTAGTGGTAGCTTGTCATGCAAATGTGCCATTCTATTATTATGACATATAGATGCAAATGTTAGTGGCTCCTGTCATTAATGTAGTTGACATTGAGAAACTTATGAAAATACATTTTTTAAAGAACTTTGTGTTTGTGTCCTTTCAAACAACAGTGTATTCTGTTTGCTAGGAAATAAACTGAGCCATAAATAGATACCACGTAATACAGCGGACGTATGGCCTACGTGTTTGGTCACATCCCTATTTCACTTTTAGTTGTGTGGAGTTTACGAGTGCACTGTTCCCCTAGTCTCGTGGTCTTGAACTGGACAACAAAGGTTAGTGTTGTCTGATTCTCCTCTTCATGGCTGCCCAGATGTTAATAATAGAAACAGATAAGGCAGAAACTCATAGATCTGCAAACCCTCACTCTCTGTGCAGATAAAAAAGAAGTTCCTATAATAGGTATCAGAAAGTATTTTTACGACTACCCTAAAAAGTATGATATATATATATATACACACATGTATGCCTTATTTTCAGCCCGACTGCACTTCCTCTGTTCACCTACAGTAGACGCTCCCTCCCTGATGTTTTATACCAAACAAGCAAATATACATTATGAAGCACAACGTTTTTGTCTTGTAGGGCTGCACTAATCAAGCTCGTCCAGACAGTCTGGTGTCGGTGTGTCTTATCATCCCACATGTAAGAATGTCTCTCTCACACACCTTCTGTTGTACGACAAGCCCTGATGTCTCACAACAAAAGAGCCCTCAGTGGAACTGGACGGTGGAGTCTCCAGGCTTACAGCTACACACCTACTCAGATTAGTAACTCAGCACAATGTGACACAGCATGGTAGCAGCTAATGTGTGAATGTAATGCCCTGCAGTCAGCTTGTCCATAAGCTTACAGTCGTCTTATTAGTGTTAATACAAGGACAGATTTTTAAAACTGAATTTCTACATACAGTACCAGAAGTTCAATTCTCTTCATATAAATCACAGTTAAAACTTGACAGAGGGAAACTCTGAAACCGTTGACGGAAAACTGTGCATTAGAGATTTACAGTCCAAAATGTATTTCCAGCAGCAGTCTGGGAGATACGAGACTCCAGACAGTGGAGACGTTACCACAGTGTTAATCTGTCAATAAGTGATGGATTTATGGAATGGTAATGTGGGATGATGCAATCAATGTTCTGACCTGTGTTCATGAAAAGAAAAACTTGAAACACTGTTCTCCATCAAATAAGTACATTTACAGTCAGTTATTTTATCCCCGAGATGGAATGGTAATACTGACAGCCTGTCGGCTTAATAGTTAACTATTTGTTGACTGAACTCTCCAGCACCTGCAGGCCAGACGGTTCTTGGAGAGAAGCGGTTGTTTAGCAGGGATGGGGGAGGTTTCCACAGGTTACTTGATATTCAATCTCACAGTGAGTGGCAGAGAGTGCAGGAATGATAGGTTCCTGATTTTTTTTTTTTTTTTTTTAGAAACAAAAGATATATATACGTATATATATATAATTGTATACTATAAAGTCAACGCAAGCTGAAAAACTGTTAGAGCCCAAGTCCAAAACCAACAGGTAGTTGGAAATAATGACTTGTGGAGTTTCCCAGTGCTTTGTTTTAAGGTGGAATTAATCTCGTTTTAATGTTGCATTCTTAGAAATGATGCATTCTGAGCAATTACATTGCAATGTCAGACCACCAGAACCAGACTCTCCCTATAAAGTTAATTTTAATTCACATAGAAGTCAAAAATACATGTAAAATTCATCAAAATAACTCATCTACTTAGTTATTTATTTATGAAGTTACCTATTTCGGGGGTCCCTGGAACTGAAGGCTCTGAGTTCGAGACCAGCTAGTCCTCAAACCCCAGGTTGGTTTGTCAAGTAATCTGGTGTAAAATCTGATAAGCCTGAAATGATTCTTCATCTTCATCCATCAGAATATTTTTTGTCAGGGATGAAAAAGTGATGTCATCAGCAAATAGCTGCAGATTATTTTCAGAAGCACCATGTTTGGATGTCTGGTTTATGTTCTTTAGGGTACAGATGTTGACTTATAAGGACAGCAGTGACATCAACAGAGGTCTTTGTGTCAACTCCAGTAATAACATAACATATTGATTGCACAAAAATCAACATGACCTTTTCCTGGTATTGATTTTTGAGGTTATTTACAGTTGACACACAAAACTTGAATCTTATCCTTTAGGCCAATGTTTTATTTTAAAATATAAAAATCTACATTTGTATAACTAAATGGTAATTGATTTATCTAAAGCAATTTATTACTTTTGGGGCTAATTGAAAATTACTTCTAGGTAGGGCGGAAGTGCATAAAAATGGATGTAGGTGAAAGGTGGAGGGAGAGAGCGGGAGCATCATCATAGCTGACGGTGTTCCAGTCAACACCGACTGAGGCTGTAGGCTCTGAGACTTTGGACTTTTTTCAGTGATGAATGCACTGCAGGTCTATGTTGTACAGATGTTTGTACCTAACTGGAATAAAACCTCAGTAATAGACAGTTAAGAACACCATAGTGCAGTGACTGTTCCTGCTTTATAATAGTGTTGTGTTCATCCTATTATGTGTTAATGTTTCTGTGGTGGGAAAAAAATCTATTTTTTTTTATTTAGCTGCGGGCGGCTGCTGCCTCTGTTAGACTTGTCATCTGAGAATAATTTGCCTAATTAAATGCTTTGTAATGTTTTCCTGGTACGCCTTTGTCCGGGGGCAACACTGACACGAACAATGAAGTCTAATATTAGGCTGCAACCACATGGCTTTCGATGAAAGAAAATTAGTAAATGTTTCTTGGTGCCAAATGGGATCCTTGACTTGATCGTAATGTAAAACAATGAGGAGAAACAAATGTATATATTAGTATTTTTGTAAGATGGAACCTTGTTTTTCCTCATTTGCTGTTTTCACATGATTATTAGAATTTGTTGGTCTAATGTAGTTGTTCAAGACGGTGGTACTTTCAGTAAAAGAAACGTAATGCTGTTAAGTTTTGGTTCCTTGAACTCAAGTTTATCTGAGCCCCAGGAAAGTTTAACAAAATTCTATATATTCCAACATTGTATATGTAGTGATGAACTGTACTATAGTGATGCTAACAGAATATGAATGCATCTATGCCTGCACAGTGGCCCACTAATTTAGCTATCTGTTCAGAACAGAAGTCTTAGAGTCCTATTTAGTTGAAATTATATCATGACTTGTCAGAGCAATATATTGTATTGAGCCAAGTTACAGAAAGCCATTTTAAGTTCATCTGCTACTCTGACTCTGACTCTTAGTTGTTTAGATACAGTAGTATATTACTACCAAATACTGCCTTCTGTGTTTTCCTTCTGACAATTTTGGCTCTCCTTTTGGGTTTGTTTGTCACACTTCATTCCTCATCGTCCACCATCTTGATTTCCACCTGTCACATTGCTCATCTCACTCTTATCTGTAGAGTGAGATGAGCACTCATCTCACCCTCCGGCTTTGCTCGGGAATCTATGAGCAAAGCCGTAGATTCCAACCAGAGTCTCTTCTGGATAAACTGGGCAGTTAGAGATCTGGTTTAACAGGCTGTCAGATAAAAATCATTTTTAACACGTCATTAACTGTGAGTCATTCATGTTGGCTTACGCCATAAGGTCACTCTGTTTAATAAAGCTGCACCACCAGTGAACTCCTAAGTTAATTACATAATGTCCTTAATATTCTTGTGCCATAGAGGTGTTACAGTTACAAAAGGTAATCCTTTAAAACAACAGGCTCCGTCTAATCAGATTAACATGCCAGTGTTAGTCACGTTACTGGTCTTCAACTCCCTATCTTAGCATAAAGTTGTCACAGTTCTGGTTGTTCACCTGTTTTCGTGCAGATGCGTGAAGACCAGAGATAAATATCTCCGTTTTTCTCGTTTTTCCTGTGAACATCACACTGGCATGTGAAGAGTGTGGCACTTGAGGAGTGAGGAGGTTTGTGATTCAGCCCGGGGCTGAGGAGGATTAGGGCACCGGCTTTGTTTTGGTGCCTGTGTTGTTTGGAGTAGCTGTGAGTAAGACCAGAGGGAGGACCAAACTCTCTCCTGTTCATGTTGTGTTTTCAATCAGGGCTAATAATAAGCCATGTTGTTCCAGCTACCAAAACAGTGTGGGAGACAAGTGGATCTGCTGTTCCCAGAGAGAGAGTGTGAAGAGTTAAAGAGAGAATTATAATGAGAATGAAAAATGAAAAAGGCCTGTGCTTGTATCTAGAACATTACACACTAAATAATGTATGTCTTCAAACAGTGGTGACAATGAAGTTGCTTCCAATCTCATTTACAAAACCTATTTCCAACTAAACGCAATTGTTGTGCACTAATTTTTACCTTTATTTACCTTATTTTACCTAATTGTTGATTCTATGACCTTTGCCTCAATACTTTTGTTTATGTCTCCATAATGTTGGCATTGATTTCTACATTTGTTTGTCTCTTCATTTCAAAACAAGACAGTTGTTAAAATGTTTTTCCGAAAACAGTACGAAGGACAGGAGAAGGGAATATTCTGGCTAATTTGTAAGCGTGTGAACACATAAATGTTTATCTGTTTTGTTCTTAACCTAAAAGCTCTCTCTCTCTCTCATTTGGATGTATTTACTTTTGATAATTTGTCATAAAACTACACCAATGTTCTAGTGACAGAATTGGGACTCTTGCTAAATATAGTTTAGTTTAGTCAAAAACACTTGAGTCAAAATTGATTAAAAGGTTTTAATGTTCACCAGGTGTCTGGTCACAGAGTGAGAGTTTCTCTGTGATGTTGAGCCAAAACATTCTTCACACCATGCCAGCAGCTGCAGACATCTGTCATCACAGCACTGGAGAATTGTTTTCAAATACACAGACAGACCAGGAAAAATAATAATAATAATAATAATATATATATATACAGTATATACATATATATATATATATATATAATCTATATATACAATATATATATATATATATATACAGTATATATATAAGATCTCAGTGTCATGTGGTTCACTGTGTAGTCGTCTCCTTTCAATGAACCCTGATTAGCCCCATTAAAACTCCACCACCCCTCTCTCTCTCTGTGTGTGTGCGTGTCACAGAACATTATGTTCATACAAAGACTGTCTTTCACATGCACACTCGCACGCATTAACACACATGGACCCGAGGAGTGCAGAGAGGTCTCAGTCTGCAGGAAGTAAGTACTAGTGAGAGTGGAGTGATGTGCTAATGAAGCCTGATGAACAGCTGCACCTCCACCTCCACCACCACCACCATGCTAGGCCTTATACTCTCACTCACTTTCTCACCACTCTCCCTCCATGCAGAATTCATGTGGAATAATTATCTGCTGCTTCTGATTGAAGCTCTTGTTTGAAGCACTTCTCTGTGCTACTGCTAATTAGAAAAACAAGCGTGGAGGACTTCAGAGCTGCTGCAGCACTCAGTGTGCACTAAGAGGAAAAAGTAGAAGATGAAATAAATAACCCGTCCCACCACTGCCACAGGCGTTTATCAGGATTAAATGTCTGACATTTCTCTGAAAGGTTAAACCTCCGTTGTGACACGTTCTTTCACTCTCCTGTCTCTCTCTGCTCCTCTGATATATTTGATAACTGAAATGACCAAAGTTTCTGTCAAAATTGAATTCTGGAATTCTTCTAGAGTCAGTTTCATGCGTAGACTGTATCTCTGAAATGGGCGGGGCTACTTCATCCATAAGTCTTTGACTATACTGCTGCTTTAAAACATGTTTTATCTTAAAGTTTCTCAAACCTGTAAAAACAATTATTCTGAATATAACTATCTTTACTGTGTGAATATGTTTTGATCAGTATTCACCAACAACAATAAGATGAGCCTGCACTTGCTATGATGGAGGTTATTCAGAGGACATTTATTACAGTATGTAAAATATGGAAATTGAGGACAGTGGGTATTTTAGTTTCAGTGGTTGGACACGGTTCAGAAATCATTACGTACTCAGGATAAAGATGAGAAACCAAAGGTTGCACGAGAGGCTCTCGTCCTAAAGTTCTCATCCTGTCCAGCTTCACAACCTTTGTTTCCTATACTGTCATACATATGAAGTTACTTTGGAATCCAGTAGAACCTTCTCAGCTCTTCTCTGACAACTCTGTCCATTTCTCATATACAGTCAGTAGTTTTTAAGTCAGCAGACACTCAGACAGATAGATTGATGCATTTTTAGATTCCTCTTTTTATATAGTCTGGCCCTATTCCACTCTTCTGCACCTGAAAAAAAAACAATTCAGGTTAAAATAAACACATGAAGAAAATACAGCTCTGCTGCTGCTGCTGTTTGCTTACTGCGTAAAACAGATACAGACAGCAAAGCCACCTTCTGTTTGTCTCTGCTCCTCTCCTCAGGGCTCTGGTGTTTATCGTCCATGGCACCGGGGAGCATTCTGGGCCGTATGATGAGATTGCACAAAAACTGAGGGACCAGTCTTTGCTGGTATTTGCACACGACCACGGTAGGTCACGAGCTCATACCTTGCATCCCATTCATTCATGCATATGTTTACACCTACAGCCGCGGCTGCTTCCCTTCATCCTCCACCCCATTGTCTGATTGTCTGGCCATTGTAAGGTAAAGCGAGTCTGTGGGTTTGGAAACTAAGTGGATGTAAATGACAGAGTGATGCAGAGAGAGGATGTCTTTTGTGCTGCTGTGTGGAGTATTTGAATAGAACTCCTGGTCAGGTTTCACTAGATAATCTAAATCTAGAGCCAAGAATGAAACACAATTTGCACGTTATTGTCTGCGGTGTTTGGCGCAGAATTTAAGTGAAATTCTACGTCAAAACTTGCACGTGATAAATCAGGGGAGTCAAACTCATTTCTACCAGGGGCCTCATCAGCAATAGCTTTGACTACTCTATAACATATTAATACATGTTTCTGCAATTGATTATTATTTATTCAAGTTACAAATATTCTACATTGCTCTCTGTAATGAAAATAAGTCATTAAGTAGGTCATTAACTTAAAGGCAATTAAACACTTTTTAGCTCCCACGGACCACACATAATGATTTTGTGGGCCGCATTTGGCCCACGGGCCTTGAGTTTGCCACAAATGCTCTAACTGAATATTCAGTTATGTGCTTTGTAGCTGGTGTCTCTCACACACGCAACCTCAGGAGGTTAGCAGTGGCGTTGTACTCGGTGTGTTCTACCCGTGACAGGAACGTGGATGACGATACAGGGATATGAAGTTTAAGCGTCAGAGTGGGATGATTTATTTAGATCGAGGTCTCAGTGACAAAGTGCTGAGTTAATAAAGCAGTGAGTGAAGGCTGAGGGCGAGTGAGGCTGCACACAGAGGAGCCATTTGTTCAGTGGCGTGCAGTGAAATGTCACAATGGAAAAGACTGAACTGGAACAAGTCCCTGTAGATGCTGGTGTCTCATTGTTTTGTCTCTCACACACACACACACACACAGACACACACACACTTACATACTGAGTTCAACAGTCGAGCTCTTGAACTGGTTCTTATCGTCCGTTCTCCTGTGGCAGTCTTTGAGTTATAGGATGTTGGATTTGTTTTTTATTAAAAGAGTGTTGGTTTAATGAATGAGCCGCTGCGCTGTGTCTTCAACCAACAGTCTTAACACAACAAATGTTTTCATCACGTTTTCATAGCTAACACGTGATTTCACGTTTTCTGGATGGCGAATGAAGCATGAATCTTCTGCTACAGTACTGACATTCGTGGTCAAATCATAAACTTGTTTTTTATTTTATTATTAAATCATTCATTCATCTGTTGATTTGTATTATTTAAAGTGTTTGAGACAAAGTGACCGGGGGTACATTGTGGGGCAGTGGTGGCTTAGTGGTTAAGGAAGTGGACTTGGGTCTGGAAGGTTGCCACAGTTACCACTGAGGTCCTCTCTCACTCTCTCGCTCAAAAAGCTGCCCACTGTTCACTTTGGTGATGGGTTAAAGAGGTCATTTTGCTGTGTGACACAATGACACAATGACAAGAGTTCACTTTCCTTTCCTTATTGTTCAATAGCAAAAAACATGTTCCACATCCTGTGATTGACACAGGTGGTGGCACTCGGGCTGCATTGGCCACATGTTGGACACAGTGTTGCTAAGATTTATCACTACCCGGTTTGTAATTTTTTTAACTTTTCTTACTTTTAATGGCCATATTTGAAATAAACATTCCAATCTACATGCATAGCTGTACTGTATTTTTTTTAACCAGGACCACCACTCAAATCACACTGCACCAGGAGGTGAACCCTGGGGTTCCACACAAGTGACAGAGACATTGCCTCTGGGCCAAAGCGCCACATTGTCAAATCCCAATAATTCATTTAGCTTGCTACCCTATAAACTTTGTTTACACCATGGGAAATCAGTTTTCAAAGTTACAAAGGACATCTCTTTCATGTCATCCACCCGTCAAAGATCAGCCCCAGAACTGATGAAAAGGGTAGATGTTGAGGGGGAAAAGTGTAGAGGGAAAGACAGAACACTGCTGATCGTGATTGGTTATTGATCTCCAGTATAGTGATGTCAGTATATTGCAAGAAGACACACACACACACACACACACATGCACACCTAAAAAGGATGAGCAGAGAATTGCATGTGACATTGATTCTCATCAATCACCATGGCAACCAGCCTCACCTCGCAGCCGCCGCCGCTGCTGCTGCAGAAAGCCAGGGACTGTATAGATATCACAGGTCTGTGGGTACAAACATGCACAAATTGGTGTTTTTGTTTTTTTCTTTGGTATCCAGGGGGCGCTAACATTTTCTCCCATCTGTCATTTTTTTTCACATCTGCTCCATCTGGCCTGGTTGTTCATTTTTCTCACCTTCTCCTTCCCACCCCACTCATTTCTTCTTACCCCTCTTTTTTCCCACCTATTCCTCTCACACACATCTTGTTTTCTCAGCCCCCCCCACCCCGCCACTCCCCTCTATCCTCACTTTTCCTTCACCAGGGCTTCCTCCGTCTCTCTTAACATTTTTTTTACACCTTTGAGACTCGTGTCTCCTTTCTTTCTCAGTGTTTGTATTCATCGTTGCTCCTCCTTTCCTAACCCTCCCTCTCACCTACTGAATCTGAATCTCTGCCTAATATCACTTCCCTTGTTGTTATAATGCTCCAAAAATCCACCAAAAATATGAGATACATGAACAAAACTGTGCACTTTTAGATCAAGTTACAGCTATTAAGAAATAAATGTACACATTAATTTAAAAGAAGGTCAATGCTTAGTATTTTGAATACAAATTTTACTTTTTTTGTTTATTCAACAGTGGGCCACGGTCAAAGTGAAGGAGAAAGAATGAACGTCAAAGACTTCCAGGTTTACATCAGAGACTCACTGCAGCACATTGACCTGATGAAGTCCCGTCACCCAGACCTACCAGTCTTCATTCTAGGTCACTCCATGGTAGGATATTTAAATAATGGGCATTAGCTCTCAAAGTACTTTCATTAGTGGCCATGTGTTCCTTTGTCTGTCACTTGTCATTGTCCAGTACTTTTCATATATAATACTAAAATATACTGTATGCTCTAGAATATTAACCTGATCCTCATATTTATTTGTGACATTCTTTCACATGTCCACAATGGACTTCTGCACTGAATGCTCCGGACACATAATGGCTAAATATGTAACTTTTTGTAGACAAAAACTTGAGCTACATCTCCTAGCAGAGGATGGTTTCGATCCATCGACCTCTGGGTTATGGGCCCAGCACGCTTCCGCTGCGCCACTCTGCTGCTCTATGTACACGCTTTTAGTTTCTGCTCCATTCAAAGCCAAACAGTTAACTCATAACTAATTGTTATCTGTTTTGGCTACCTTTAAGGAATTTTGAATTGTTGGTATATATTCTTTCCAATAAAACATTCTGGTAACTTTTTTCATCTAATTCCTGACTCATGTAGTCAGCCCTGAAGCTGATTGGCTACTTGTAATGACTCATTCTAAACTGAACTCCTTCAACCCTTGTGCTACTCTGGCCCACCATAGAACTAACGTCTCCTTAATACAGTTGTGTGCAACCGAAAATTAGCATTAGCATTTTTTCTCAGCTTTTCTCAGCCATAAAGTTAATACCTAAGACTTTGTATCATTCAGAAAGTATAGTCATCTCTTTAAAATGTAAAAACTCTAAAGTTTGATTTTTTAACATCATCGTCCCAGTTTGGCTTGACCGTGCTGCCAGCTACATTTTCACATGATGGAGAAAACCCCACGTTAGCTCTGCAGGGTGTCAGTTAAAGGAACAGCAGCTGCTAACCTTTAACACAGTAACACAGATTCTACTCAACCCCAGCTGCCACTGATGTTCACTGTAAATATCAACAGAGCACGGACTGGTTCACTGACCTGCTGAGGGCCACAGGGTTGTGTTTTTTGGCTGAGAGTGTTCTCACGGTATGAAGGAATCTGTCCAATGTCCAACGACCCTGTTCTCTGTCCACTGACTTTGAATTTTTACGAAACTGATGTGGCCATCAGTGAAATGACAGCAGCAGCAGTGGTCCTCAACATGTTTGTAAACAGTAGACAAGAATTGTAGCATACTTTGCCGTAAAACATTTTATTGCACCAAAGGCCACAGACACTCCAGTGATTGTGTAATCATTTTTGCTTTGACTTTTTTTCCATCGATTTTGGTCCAAGGCATTCTGTTCTGGAAAACAAATGTTAAATTTACTGTTGATGTCATGTCTACAAAATGTTCTGAAACACAGACAAACAACAATTCCCAAAACTTACATAACATTTGAAAATGAAATAAAGAAAAACAGACCTGGAAATTGTTTTAACCAAAGAGTGGATTTAGTTGTTTTTGTTATTTATCTTAGAAGAGCATCACAGTCCGTCACTGCTGTGTACTGTGATTCACTGACCCCTAATACAGTCAAGAGAGTTATATAAGAATGGCTGTTTTAAGTGTTTACAGATTTATAGATGTTGAGTCCATGAAGTGTGACGTCACTGTGACATTTTTTCATTGGTCTGATCTCTTCCACAAAGGAAAGGTTGACTTCACTCTAATGTAAAAAATGAAATGGTTCCTGATTTGTTTCTTTGAACAAAACAGTCTGTACGTCAAAGGAACTTCAGTCTAAATCCAAATGTTCCGTTTCTCCTCTTTTATCTCACAGCTGGAAGAACTGTCTCAAGCTGAGAACAGGGAGAGAAGTGGAGATTCATTGCAGACAGTTTTTGCCAGGCAAAGCATGGAGCCGTGTTATCTTTCAACACGGCCTTGTTCCTTTGAACATAGTGGGTTCAGCATGAAAGTGGGAGCTCCGTGCTTTGGTCTGAGTAAAAAACTGTACAGTATTCACTGACAGTATTTCTGTTTTCAATTATAGCTAATAGCTGAAGAAAAGCTGCATCAACTCTCACATTTAGCTTTTATTGCTAATGTGCAGTACCACCACTGACCAGAGGAGGTTGTTTGCTAAATTATTTATTTTAGATTAATTTAATTTTCAACAAGATACCTTTGTGTCCTTTGAAAAGACAGCTGGTAACTAGGACATTGTTGTCAAATTCAGACAGATGTCTTTTACAGTTGGTCCTAACTGAATACCAGGCCGGTCACTTTCATAAAAGCTGTTTTTGGTGGCCATTTGTTTTTCTGAGTACAACCTAAATCTGGGTGATAGTGGACCGTATCATGACAGACCTGTTTGGACTGGAGCTGCACAGGAGAACAGCCTTTCATAGACTGTCAGTGTTGTGGTTGAAACACTCTGAGGATGCAGGAACCCTGCTGTGGTTCATTTTATGTAAACTAGAACGCAGGACCCCCAGATGGGGGTCAGGAATCTGATTGAACATGTTTTCTGACTTCTGTAGCTTCAGCTTCATCCTTGCTTTCTGTTCTCTGCCACACCTTTTCATGGAAACAGACCAAATCTTCAGGAAGCCCAACCCTAATCCAGTCATGTGCGCCTGTGTTTTTACAGCCATTATTTCCCACTTTTCCAGTGTTGTGATCTGTCATCCTGTTATTATTAGGTTGTTTGTTTGTCTACTGGTCCAGGAAGGCCAGAAACACACACGCAAACACAACGGAGACAATAGAAACCACCTGTGGACGCTACATCCCCAGATTCTGTTCCAAACACAATATCCTGAGGAGGGTGTGGTGCAGTGAAGGTACACGGGTCAGCCTTCACAGCCTCACAGATTTTTCAAAAATGGCTTCTTTTACCCCTCTCTCAAACCATCTGTCCAAGTAAAAGAAGCCATTTTTGTCAACCTGGTAAAACCATCACTCAATACCCAAAAGATTCACCTCAGTTTCACATAACAAAGAGGCAGGTGACCAAAACCGTTCTGATGAGGACCACAACGACCCATCAGACTCTTACCAACTGTTTACACACCCAACAGGGTGGACCTGAAGTAGCTTTATTCTTTCACACCCAGAGTATATATTTGCTGTACTCCCCACCACCAGTTAGAACTGAAGAAGCCTCTTGGATGAGAGGTGAAACGTCTTCTTTTAGAAAATTCACGTCCAGTTGCCATGACAGAACTTTTTAAACTTGACCTTGACCTGGATGACTGAGAATCTTCATAGACATTACTTTTTAAGTTGCCCAAATGTATTGGAATTCAAACTTTACAATTTGAAAACAATTCTCAGAAATGTAGCTGCACAGTTCCAGAAACTGGATTTGTAGAACAAGTGTGTGTTTGCTTCTGTTCAACACCCTGTGTTTATGAGTCACAGTAAACTCCTCTTCTTTTACTCACTCTGCCTGAAGTCATTACGACCGGGTTGATGAGGATTGTTGGGTTTGTCTTTGGAAGGTCATAAAGCTGAGCACAATGAGGTTCAAGTTGGAGGGCAGGATCCAGTTGAAAAATTATATCATAAATTTACCTCTGTGCCATGGGAACTGCATTGTAATTCTTCAACTGAACACTAACCGAGGGTCCTGGAGTGAGACCCGCAGACCTGAAACGTGAGCAGAATGACCAGAGCAGGTTTGGATAACAAAGCTCTAAGTCTCTTAATGTTCTGAGCTTTGAAAGAGGCTGCCATCTTTTTTTTCTTTTCTCCAAGTCCAAGGATTTGGCAGTGGGCTTGGACACTCCATCAGTGTTGTATGAGCTCATGGGAATGTGGACGGATGCCTCCAGCACACATTCCCCATCTTTTCCACCAGGGTTTCTGGCACAGCCTGGTTTGTACTATTTCTTCTGCGTCAGAGTTGTTCAGCGGTTTGAAAATATTTTTATGTCAAGATCCCTCAGTCACTTCAGAGAAACCACAAACAACATGAAATGGATTTTTATGAACGTTAAAACTGGCATTGTACAGATTGATGAAAGAAAAGTATCGTTATTTATAGACCAGGCTGAACTGTGAGTCCAGAGCCTTTAGATCAGTGGTTCTTAACCTTGTTGGAGGTACTGAACTCCACCAGTTTCATATACGAGATTTAGATGGATTACGCTCTAGATGTTTGAGAGAGAAAGTTTTACCAATATTCAATTAATTCAATTTTGTTACTGCTCAGTCAGCTGACTATGATAAAAAGAAAACAAACAGCTCCATTGCAAATATTCATCTAAATATTTTAGGACCAAATCCTTTATTGAGATTTATTGAGCTTTTACCATATATTAGCTAAATATATTTTTATGTGAAATCAATATTAATGATTGTTATACAGTAAAGATGATTGCTGTACCACAGCATTAGATCCTTCACACATGCACGTAGTAGAGATTTCATAGTTAATGAACGTAGTGAGCTGTTTCCACGTCACTCTGTCACAGTTTGATGTCTGCACAGAGAGAGAACTGTTGTCAAAAGACCCCGCAGCAGCTCCTGCCGTATGACGTCCCCTTCCTATAATGTGTGGGTATTCACAGATCGACTCTTCACGTGTTGGTATGACAGCTGTAGAAGTACATAGAATGGCTGTATGTCAGCTCCTCAGGCAGTTTTTGACAGTTCAAGTCCGCCCAGAGGACAATACCAGCATTCAGTCCAAATCCAGAAGCAGGATGTATAAGAAGATCTCTGATGAGATTCCTTAAAGAGCCTCTCTGTTCCAGGCCTGCTTTTGTTGCTACAGTCTCTGCGTTCCCATATTCTCGTGTCTGTGTGTGCGTGCATTTTCAGTGGCCAAGAATGGAACTCAGAGCCAAATTACACTTAGTCATGCTGTTCTATTTGAACCTTGGTTCCAGTTCGTCCAACTCTGAGTGTCAATATTTTTAAACAAAGCACGTTGAAGAAGAAGCAAACATTTTTTATTTTAAACTGTCTGCAAAGTGAGTTTAATAACTGTTGACATTTTGGAGTATTTGCCTATTCTGCTGTACTGACAGTGTAAGCTACAAACAGTCCTTGGTCTCCACTGTCTGATTGGCCTCCTCATGATGCACCATTTTGTGGTGTTGTTGTATAGTTTGGAGTTTGAGCCCAGATTAACAAACGGTTGACCAGGATAATGCCTGGTCACTGGTCACTGCTTTTACATTTTATAATGTTTGATATTAAGGCTGATTTACAAACCAAAATGTAACTTTTATTTAATTTTTAGAAATGATGCAATAAATAATATGGAAAAAAAGTGCAAATGACGCTCCGTAGAGTTGTTGAGTCATGGAGGTGGATTTTAGTTTTTGACTTTTGTGGCCAAATTCACACAAACCAAAGTGTGTGTCTTGGGGTATTCTGTTGAGAAAAGTTTTGTCCTTGTAAACCCAGTGCCTCTCTTGGAGCAACCAGCCCATCGTTGGCCCCAGACTAATGAATATTCATGAAAGTGCTAAAGAAGCTGCACGTAAAGAAGAGTTAGAGCCAATTAGTGTGTCAAAAAAGTACACAAGTTGTATTCAGCCGTAGAAACCCAGAGGAAAAGCTGTTGGCAATGTGCTTGCTTTACATGCATGTGTGTTGGTTTCCACCTGCGTAACTTTTTCCAGACGCTCATTTGTTCTTGGCTGTCACTCTGCATCTATATGTCATGACCTGACATTCTGGAATTTAATTTACAATACAAATATCAAAGTTTATCTTAAGGTGTGGCTGAGTGCCACCGTTGCGCTGCTGTAAATGTGCGGCCCGTTGGCCCACGAGCTGCGCGGCTGCATTTCTCTGGGATGCGTGCGTGGAACCTCAGCAACAAAAGAACAGGCTGGACATCCAGGCGGTCTGAACAAAAGATGGATTGTTTTATGTTTGTCTTGACCTCTGAGAAGTTTCCCACTGCTCCTCGCATCGTAACCTTTCACCTACTTTTCAAGGACCCCCCCCTGTGGAGTGTAAAGGAAATCACTTCCTGTCTCCTAATGAATGTCAGCTTCACTGCATTACATCGACGATAAAGACAACTTCACATTTGCTTTGAAGAAACGAACAAAAACTTCTCCATGATTTAAACAGTTACTTGAATAAGTGTGCATTTTAAAGTGTCCCCACACTGAAGACATGTTCTGCTTATAGTCCTTGTCTGGGCCGATCCTGCTGTGAACATCAGTGCAACCAATCTTTAACTGCAACGAAATTAATGAAACCAAGTTTTGATCCTGGAAGATCTGGAAACAAACAAAGTATTTTTCTGGACTATAAGTCGCTCCAGAGTATAAGTAGCTCCGATGCCCTCTAGTGGCAGTCGGTGTGGCACACCCATTCAAAGGTAGTTCCCAGTACCGATAGTTGTTTTGGTTAGTGGACTCATTCTCCTGGTGTTTGGTCAGACATAAACAGCACTGTAAAGAGTACTCTGTAAACAAATAATTTAACGTTTCATGTTTTTTCTCACCACAGGGCGGCGCCGTGGCCATCCTCACAGCCTGTGAAAGGCCCAGTGATTTTGCTGGCGTGGTTCTGATCGCACCGATGATCAAAATGAACCCAGAATCTGCAACGCCGTTCAAAGTAGGAATGAAAGATGATCTGCAAAACAATCATTACAGTGTTTTACTTTTCCAAATACTAGTCTGTGTACTTTCATGTCTGTGGCAAAAAGTCAGTGTTTGTACTGTTTTTCAACATGAATATGTCATCTTAATTAAGGAAATAAACTGTTTTCTCTCCCATCGTCAGGTTTTTCTGGCTAAGGTCCTGAACCACGTGCTGCCCAGACTCCCTCTGGGCAGCATCAATTCCAAATGGGTTTCCCGGGACAAGTCAAAGGTAAGAGACAGGGTTGAGGTCTGTATGGATGTAAATGTTTGGGTGTGTACTGTACAGTATGCGTGTGAGGTTTGTTTGGATGAGAAGCCAACATGTGAGAGACACTTTGACTCGTTTCCAAACTGCAGCTTTTGTCTGCTTGCCAAGCGTGTGTGTGTGTGTGTGTGTGTGTGTACGTGCGTGTGTCAAACTTGTCCTATTGTGTTGTTTTTGTAATGACTAAAGCAGGTGAGCTCAGTGTGTGGGGTTTTTTTCCCACGTTGTGTTGTTCACTGGACCCACTTTTTTTTTTTTTTACAATTCAAAAATGTTACATGTCAAAGTGGACATGGTTTGGACAACGTGCTGAGGAGAGACTTTGTTCCTCAGAACAGTACCAGAACACAGGTTTACAGTATTTTGGTGGGACCTGCCCCCCACTTTGGGGACCACTGCAGTAAATTATCTGTGGTGATTTTTTAAAATGAACTTTTACAGAGAATGTTGTTATTCAATGAAGTGAGTGAAAAAAAAATACTGTTGAGATCACCACCAGGCCGTCTCTGTCTGATACGTTAAACTGAATGCATTGTTCTCACCTACTGTAATACAACGAATTAGAAGGTTAGTTGTACTGTCAGCTCCACATCAGTTAAACCTAGATTTATTATGTTTATATTAATGGTGATGATGATAGTATGATGAGTGAGTAAATCAGTATTTCAGGTTAATGGACAAAGGTTTAGACGAGACGATCTGCAGCTCATCAGTTTTTCTGATGAAAAATGTTGTGATGTGATCTGTGTGTGTGTGTGTGTGTGTGTGTGTGCAGCAGAGCAGGTCACGCTGTGGCCTTTTTGGATCTTAGTCATGTTGTGATTCAAAGTGTGTTCTGGGAGAGAGGAGCTGTTTCTGCTGGATCAGAGTCACAACATAAATATAGTCTGTAAGTGTGGGAGTGTGACCTATTTATGGGCTTTATACACAACAAAAAAGATGGTCATATATATTGATACAACACGATGAAGTGCCTTCTCTTCTGTGGTGCTTCATCATCCAAACTCAGTCACTTGTGTTGACAGTCAGCGTCTTTATCGTTCTCGCTGATGTAACGTGCAGTGTCAACCACTGTAAACGTGCGTGATGACACTGTAAAAACACTAACACTAATAATCGTGGAATAAGAGTTTACAGTAAACTGTGTGGTGATTACTTTGGTCCATGTCCTCCGACAGGTGGAGGCCTATGACGCAGACGACCTGAACCACCACGGTGGGGTCAGGGTGTCGTTCGGGTGGCAGCTGATGGGGGCTGCGGCTCGCATAGAGAAGGAAATCCCGACCATCAGCTGGCCGTTCTTTCTCCTGCACGGTGACGCCGACAAACTCTGTGACATCAGAGGTTCTAAGATCATGTTTGACAAGGCTCCAAGTCCAGACAAGAAGATCAAGGTGGGACGTTATTTGGCTAAAAATATATCTGTTCATCAGAAACCAAAGTGTTGCACTTGGATCAGTTCCTTGTCCTTAAAGGTGAAATCACTCCATTTATGTTTTCATATGATTTTTATACTGAATTGATGTTACGTCACTTAAAGAAACAGCAGAATAGATTTCCTTAAAAAGGCCAGGCCTTATTTGACAGCATGGCTGATTTGACCGGCCTGCCTGCAGTCCAGATCTGTGTCCGACTGAAGGTGTCCTGCACTTAGTGAGGAGGAGAATCAAGTCTGGTAGAAACTCTACTTGACAAAGTGCAGTCATTTCATACTATATTTACAGACTGACTTCTTCATGCATAGAACTCTTTTTTATATATGTTTGTTTATAATAATTAGAATTAATATAGTAAGTCAGTGGTTCTCAAACTTACTCTGTACCAGCTGAGAAATCACTGATCTCTCTGAGTACCACCATGATGACCAACATTAGAATACAGCAGCGTAGGCCTTCACTGTTAGCTTCCACCACAGGAGAGAGGTTTAGAAAGATATTTATGTTTAAATGTTGTATTAATTGTGCATGGTATGTTTCAGATTTATTCAATTGAAAATGTAAATGTGAAAATATGAATTTTCCCTGCATACCACTAGAGAGCGCTCTACCACAGTTTGAGAACCACTGTAGTAAGTCACATCACTGATGATTGTTGTGTAAGAACAACACAGTAGCTGTGGATATATTAATAATAATAATTTGTGTTTATACACACACACACACACACACACAGTCATATATATTTATATATGTATAAAATAAAAGGCACAAATTATCATATATTATTAGCCTTCTCTCAAGACAGAAGCACGTGGAACAACAGGAAGTACAGTAAATACCACCTATAAAACAGACACAACTATTTCCCTGCTATTCATCCAACTAAAAGTGAGAAGTTATCTATGAAAGAAGTCAAAAAAGGGAAGAATGACTGTTCCCATGACCTCCTTCATCATCAGGAGTCACTGACCTGGTCAGTCAGGTGACAGTACAGGAACATGGTGGGTTCAACACTAACACTTTGTCCTTGTTTCAGATCTATGAGGGAGGCTACCACGCCCTCCATCTGGACCTGCCCGACGTGGCCCAGTCCGTGCTGAAGGAAGTGTCGGCCTGGATCACAGAGCACCTGCCCCTGAACTAACCACTACCACAACAACCTGGCTCTTTGACTGTAAATGTGGATTTTTCATTCTAAGCTTTTAACAGACTCTAACTGTTCTGACTCTGGCCACATTAGTTCGATTATTCCACCTCTGCTGTAGGCCGCCTGTCCATCGGCCCAGTGTTTCCAGGACAGGAACCCATTTTTAATTGTAACTTTAAAACGTTTTACCTTTTTTTTTTCTTGTAGATACTCCACAGCAGTGCAGTTGGTCTGTGGAGCATTTTTAACTGATTGTCCGATTCCCTGTCTTGATCATTCCTCTCATGGTCTCTGAAGTGAAGTTTAGAGTCTAATCCTAAGTGCAATAATGAGGACGGTTTTAAATTTGTTTCCTTTGACTGGATCCAGCATTCACAGACAGGTCAAAGGTCAGGATACAGGTTAACCCCTGGTTGAAGGTTGATCATCTACCTTCTGAAACTGCAGCACTGTCTTCACAGAGCTCGTAACAATAGAAAACATTAGTGTTTTGTGATTTATTCCTTATGCGTGTTGGATTTAAAATAATATAAAAACTAATATTTCTGTTTGTACAAAAACAACAAATATAAACATTCCTGTTTTTATCTAATTAGGGTCAATATTCACCAGATGTCAGGAGTTTTGGACTGATTTAAACGAACACAATGGCCTCTTAGATCATTGACTGAATTCAGTGACGACAAACTAAATGAGTAGAACTGTTTGCCGTCCCTCTCTCCCTACCTCTCTTTGAGTGGGAAAGGTCAAAAGGTCAAACGTGTAGAGGTTCCCTCCTCCTCCTCTGTGGCCTTTGACCTTCAAAAGTGACCATTGAGCTCAGTGATCCGTGTTGAAACGGTAACTTCATTAGAGTCGGGCTGCAGTACAGCTGGGAAAACTGCTGTTCATTTAGTATTTAATCAGTTTCTGCTAAAGTCATTACACAGTGGGATCCAGCTGCTCCCACAGAACAAGGACACAGTCAAAACACAGCTATTACAGAAGAGAGAAAAGTTCCAGAACTGTTTGCACCTAATCACAACACTAATGGAGGGAAATGGTCAAGTTTAAACTGGCACCAGGAAGAAGCAAATGTTTGCCAAGATTCTGGATTTTTTTTAATGGAAATACTCAAACTTGTTGAAATGGAATATCCACACCTCAGGACACTTACGTTTATCAACAGTAGAGCATATATATATATAAGAGGTGGACAGCCATCAGTGAAGCTGTGAAAAAGGCAGAAAGAGGCTTGACTGGATTTGTTAAAGGTTTTCTAATTCCTGTTTATAGATTTATTTTAACTCTGGTTGGATGTGTCATCTTTATTTTTTTATTTTTTTCCCCAAATTTAATCAGGATTTTTTAAAATCACTGGCGTGATTTGTCCCCCTCAGATGTTCACTAACTTCACAAACTAACGGCCTCTCAGTGTTTTTCCTGGGCCTCTTCATGCAGCCTTACTGTGGGGCGTGTTGTATCCCAGCATCAGGAACGGGGCAAACGAACCACTGAATCTCACTAACAACGGGAAGATAAGCTAACAGTGATTCAGAACTGGCTTCAAATGGTCTCTTTTTTCAACCACAGCAATAAAAGAAACGCTGAAAAGCTGATAATTATAAGCTACACAGACTCACTGTGTGTTTTCCAGATGACTGTAATTAGCATGGATTATAGTGCATGCTGAAGTTTTCCTCTTCACTCGCAGCACAGGTCATGAGGTTTTGTTTCTGTAGCCTGGGAACGTGACAATAGATTCTGACGGTCGTGGTTGATCCTGCATGACAGCCGACATGTGCTATTGATTCAGTGAGAGTTTCAGTTCCTCTCACAGTGTCCACAGAGGCAGTCTATTTTCAGTCTGTAACTGACTTGGTCCCTCTGTCCTCTCTGTCCCTCAGCTGTGTCCATCAGTCTCTGGTCCTTTTTGTCTGTTGTCCTGTGGATTGCTCATGGTTTGGTCCATCACTGAGGCCTTTGTGCTGCTAATGAGTCAAGCATTTACTGTCTGCTGAGTTCACTCCTGTCCATGACCATCAGAGCAGCAAAAGGTCAAACTGCCATCCTTAATGGATGTTTCTGTTTGGGAATTTAGCGCCATCTAGTTAAACAGGAAACACGTGACCTTAGTTTGGAAAAGGCTCAGCTTGAAATATTGTTCAGAAGTGAAAATAAAAGTGATGTTATGAAGGTGTATAAGTGAAATGAGGTCATTTGTAGAAATGCAAATATTATGTGGTCTCAACTAGAGGATTCAGGCCCATAAATAGTTTAGAGTTAACAAAACTAAATTATATTCATAAATGTTCTCTTTTTTTATTTAAAAGATAATTTTGGTCAGAAAGTTGGCTGTGGAGACTTAGTATCATAACTGTGTTTTACTACATTTTAGACCATTGATGCTAGCGTTAGCTTAAAGCTGTTGTGCTTGGCTTGACCTTTTTGTTGAGATTAATTTGGATTTTTTAGCAAATAGCATTGCAGATTAGGGCCACTTTAATCCAGCTCAGCCTGGAGTTTATTCGGCCCCTTTAAAAGCTCTTCAATGACCTACATTTTGTCTGTGGGGGGGCTGAGGGGACTTTGGGCAATGTATGCCACCGACACAGAAAGTCTCTTATTTGGGTCAGATTAGTTTTCTTCATTAACATTGCAGAGCTGGGGTCAGCTAGCTGCTGGGGTCTGGGATTCAAAATCAAAGTTCAAAGTTGTACTCCATCAGTGGGTCCAGTGAACGGGCCATTCTGTGCCGTGAACAGTTCTGCTCACTGGGACTGTCAGAATCACAGCATCCCGTTACAAAAGCAGCAGTTACCGTATGAAGACGCTGCTCTCGCTCGTCAGACAGATTGACAGATCAGGTGCAGCACAGATGGAGATGTAAACGATTCCTCACAGACACACACACAGCAGACACAGCGACGCCGTCCCACTTGTTTTTCATTTTCCTTACGGTATTCTGTCTGCTCTGTGGGAGACTTAACCTCACAGGAGCTCAGTAATCCCACCTGTCAGACTGAACGACTGCTCCACACTGAGGTCTGGAGGCGGTGGAGGAGGAGAGAGAGGAGAAGAGAGTGATTAACAGACAGGAGAGTGACTGTCCGTAACTATGGCAGCAGCATTTCTAGGTATAAACCTGTGGAGACGGTGTATTAGTTAATGGTTGTGCGTGAACAGCGGCAGCTGCTGCTCTTCTAAGGGCTGCTTGACCATTTCCTGTCAAACAATTTTTTTACTCCTTTTTCTGTTTTATCGCATCCATTCTGGCCCAATTTATTTATTTTTTTTATTTCACTCTTCACCTGCCTCAAAGGTGAGAACAAGTTACCCATCATGTAAAGCCATATTTTCACATTTCCTGACAGCATGAAATTATAGTTTTATTATTATTGTTCATGTGCATGATGATTTGAAGCCATGTGCAGATTCTTTGTCAGTATATCTAGGACAGGATTACTTTATTGACTTAAACCGAGGAAAATGAAGGGCAGCAAACCACTGAGTCTAATTGAATCTAAGTTTTTTTTTCCTTCTTCGTTTTTTAAAAAGTGCTTTAGGTAATTTCCTCGTCTGATTTTGTAATTTTGACTTTGTGACTGTTTCTGAATTAAGCGCCGTTACAGTTCTAAGGTCAGAGGTTAACAGTCCTGTCCACAATGCTACAATAAATTTTTAAAAAAGCAAAGGGTTTAAACAAACTTTGATAACAACTTTTAATCAACCTTGTGGTCTGGTTTCTTTTTAGTTGTTGTACTGCTTGAACACACTTGTAACAATACCACAGCATTGCTACTGACACGATGGAAATACTGTATATGTGAAATATTTTATTTATCTTGTTCAGAGTATTTATAGGAATTAATATGGACTATAGGCTACTGAGGCACTTTGATACCGTAAACCAGGCCCGCGTGTCTTTATTTTTTTTGAGCTGTTAACAATTTCTAAGAAGTAAAATGGTATGAGTCTGTATTCATTTTATATCTGTCATCCCCCTGAAAAAAATGTTTCTGATTTGAGGATTTACAGACAGAAAAATGTATGTTACTACTGTGCATTTGGCTGTTGAAGTAAAAACTTGTTTGTACTAGAACAATGAATGTATGGATAACATCAGTTTTTAATTCTTTTTTTTTTTTTTTTTGCTGCAGGTTATCAGGGTGTACATGTTGGTTTAGTCAATACACATTATGTTTAAAGACTAAATGACAGTTTTCAGGTGTCCCTACAGCAGCTTTATTTTAAAAACAGGCTCTGATTCACACCATTTCAGTTGAGGAACAAATTTAATATTACAAATATTGAATTACATATTTCTGTTAAATGTTGTTTGTGCCTTATTCGTGTGTCGGGACCTGATTTTATGAGAATTTGTGTACGCAGGATGGTGGCTGTGACTGGATCTGTGTATTACATATCACTGTTGTTTTTGTGTGTCTGTTTGTGTTTCTAAATCAATGGTCTGAGCATGTTTGGGTTAAAAGTATGTTTGTTTATAATTTGTGATTTATTGACTTGCGCACGTTTTGCAGAAACACTTTTCTCTGTGGTTTTTGCAGCATTTCCTATCAATTAACACCAGATATAGATATGACTTTGACTGTCCTTTATTGTTAATGTTGTATTAAATAAATGTCTTTCGTTATTTCAAATTGTTTTGACAAGAAGTTTTTGCAAAGAGAAGGGTGATTTTCAAACGTTTTAGTCAATGTAAAAGTTTCAATTTGTCATTAGTAACGTATTTATTTTCAAAGAAACAATCAAATGCAAAAAGAAAGAAATCTTAAAATTTACAGTGAGACAATGGTAAGGCTTACATTTTTTAACATTTTATCTTTTTTGTTTTTTGAATGTTTAATTCAAAGAGAGACTGGAAATACCATAAATAAAATACTGACATTAAAGCAGGTGTTATATTTTGACCCCTTATGTGTCAAAATTTTGATAAGAGAAATAAGAGAAAAACAGACATAATATGAGCAATGAAATATTATGAATAACAAATACAGTGTGATCTTGTGTAAAAAATATTGTATATAATAACATTAAAATGGAAGTAATAATGATGAACTGCTTGTTACAAGAGTGATATTGTCATTACTCCCTGACAGAATAAACTACATGACTGTTCAAATTGTAGTCCACGTGACAATCTTTTACATCTTCTTGTTCTGCTATAATATAAATTATTATTAAAGGTCAGTTTAATTATACAGAGGGAAGATGTAGAAATAAAGCAACTCTTCTCAAAGGTCAAAAAATGTACAGGATCAATGTAAACAAAACATAGCCACTAGATGGCAGTGTTACACTATATACCAGCAAATGTCTCGTTTATATAAAACCCCTCTTGCAGCAGGGATGTGTGTATGTGTGTGTGTTGTTCTTTTTTACATGAAAATTCCCCTGAGAATGTAGGCTAATTTTATTTATTTATTTATTTTTTGGCATTGCTGCATATTAGTAGTTAATCTCACTTCAGGGAAAGACCAACATACTGAACATGTGAATCATTTGCCCCATCCAGTCAGGGGGTTGCAGTGACACGCTTGTTTTCCTTTCAGAAAATGCCTCTCCCCGATTGTCTTCAGCAAATAACATTACTTGCTGATCACATACACTAACTGATAGCAGCAATTATTGCTAAGGACAGTGGACCACACGTCACAATCTAATGAATGGGTTGTTCTTCATTATTTACCTGCTTGGTGTACTTTTTTTATTTGCTGTTTTTTTTTTTAAAGAATTTTTTTTTCATTTGTTAAACTGGATTTTTCTGTTGTGACTATTGCTCATTCGTCCAGCAGGGGGGGCATAAGGTCTATGTTTTGTCTGTTTTGTTTAAACACCTAGACCAATCAGAAAGGGGTTGGATGAATTAAATCAGGCTGCTGTAGCCTTGGCAACGGCTTTACCTCTGTGACAGCACAGGAATGGAAATGGAAGAGAGAAGCTTTTACATATAGCCACTCTTGACGCTGCTTTACTTTTGGGTTTCTTTCCATGGAAAAAAAATCCCAAAGAATATAATATACTATATATTACGATGTACTGTGGCTGCAGATATAAAGTCTTCAAATGTTTTAAGAAAATTAATAATTCAGATCAGGATTTAAGGAGTAGATGGAGGTTGATTGATGAATGGACGGTTGCAAGGAATTGGAACATGCTCCTGAAAAAAAATGCGAACGCTTAGCTTTAAAAGCATTGCTTTAAACATAAACAACAACCTAAACAAATGTTCAAAAAATATATGAAAGCCAACGCTGGATTACTGGTTTCCATCCAACTGACAAGCTCACTTCAGTGGGTGTGGCTATTTCGCTCCATTTATAAACCTCTGCATATGTTTTCGCCTCCTTTCACATAATATTGAAACCCTGTATTTTAATTCGTCAAGAGTCCTGTCAGTCAATGTCAAGCGCCTTCTCTGCCATTAAAGCACGCCTTCAAAGGTTTGCCTTTGACAGAGATTCATTCGAGCGTAACAAATTGTTAAGCATGTCATATGTAGCAGGATACATCTTTAAGATAATTTAAAGGCGTTTTTTTTGTTCCAGTTTAAAGTCATATTATTTGTAGTATTCTAACTCATAGGCGGTTCACTCGGTATTCCCGGTAAATAACACTTTCTGGGTGTTTCGATTGAAGTGGTAGAGCACCGTTTAAACCAACCGAGGGTGACTTACGTCGTGTTACTGACAGCACTGCTGGATTCACTGGTGGCCAAGCAGACGTTTCCGTAGTGGAAAGCAGGCAAGAGTTGCTATTAGGTGTTTAGCAAGTGAGCCTGTCAGTTAAGCCCAGCTACCACAGCGAGTCCCACCCTCGTCGAGTGCGTTCACGTTGAGAGAAGCTACAGAGTCCCCTTCTTTTTTTCCCTTCCCCTCTGTCTTTTAAGTTCTTCTGCATCGTTTGACACATTTACATCTAACTGGCAGCAACAGCTAGTAGTCGTATGACCGTTAGCCAAGTGACGCTAACGTAAATTGTCGAGATCGTGTGTATATTCTGTGTTGGACTACGATCTGACAAACTGAAATAAGCGGCAGAATAAGGGATAACGAGGAAGACACCGAGACGGAGGGGACTGGCTAGTTCAGCCGGCGAGATTTAAATCGCACGTAAGTAACTCAACGTTAAGTTAGCTGAACGCATACGACTTAACGTTGGCTGTGCACTTTGCTACGATTACATGACACCGTTTATCCGATGCTTATTTGTCCCCTGCAGCCACTGCTAACCGGTAATGCATCCTAAGAGCTAGCGAGTTAGCTTATATCAGCTGTGTGGAAAGTAAGGCAGCTCTTGACTAGTATTTTGTTGCAGTCATATTTTGTAAGGTACCGATAGAACAGACAAGTCCAGGTACTGTTCACTCGTCACTCTTCAATATTCGTAAATAGTTTGCTTGACAGCAGGATTAGCTAATTAGCTGAGTTGCTAACTAGCTTGAGCCGGCCGGCCACCCACATAAGTTGACAGCTTAGTTGGTGACGATGCTTTTAAGCAGCGATGTTGCTGACACTCGGGGGAAGCCATGGGTTTATCGGTCCCCAGCATAGAAAATATAATGTCCATATCAGTATCTGCTGTGTGCAGTCGTGGTTTAGGAGCCTGCCACTGCTTGTACTCTGGGATAAAGTGGCTGACGCTGAAGACCATGGTACTCAGCAACTCTTGACTTCGAAATTAAATGAAAATGTTTACCACAATAATACAACATCCAACAGCGCTGCGCGACTTAGTTTCTTCACATTGTTGTTTAGATTACATGATTGTTTTGATTAATTTATTGGAATCGTTATAAAAAAATTAAACTGTAATTCATCAGTCCAATTTGATACTCGTACTTGTATTAATTGACCAGGCCTCCCCGGTGCATCTCTGTTGTCGTGCCAATCTGTCATCATCAGTCCGGTCACACACAGGTACACAGTGTACTGGCAAAGTAGAAGTCAGAGTCGAGACTGTAACTGGTACAGCCTGTCAACACATGGCTTGGGACAGTTGCCACTCATTATTATATATAGACACACACATCTGTAATTCTGTAATTCACTTACACCTAAATCTGTGTCATCCCAGAAATTGAAGCTTGGCCTTAAGACCTTGACTGCCTCTTTCATCAGTGAGAGTAAGGCTTATATACTTTTTAAAGAAAGAAACTATCTTTTATATCTTGGTAAACACATGAACATTGCTTTTTTTTTTTAAAGTGGAGCTGCCTAACTTTCTGGAAATGTGGTCTGTATAGTAAAAGAGGAATTTCTTATGTCTAAAGCAATATTGACATATTGCTTTTATTTCTCAGATTGATCGCAAACACCGCCACCGAGCCACACACAGCCATGAGTATTGAGATACCGGTGGGGTTGACAGAATTGCTGCAGGGTTACACTGTGGAAGTGCTCCGACAAAGGCCGTCAGACCTGGTGGATTTTGCTGTACAGTACTTTACCCGTTTGCGGGAAACAAGAAGTCAGGATGGGGCCGGTGCTGGAGGAAAGATGGGGAAGGGAGTGATGTTTGATGGAGAGCCAATGCAAACAGAGTCGAATGGAGACGATGACGAAGACGACGATTCCGACTTTGAACGTAAGTAGATGCTTTGGTGTCATGATCATCAGCTGTTGTGTTGGACAAGAGTGGTGGGAAGTGTCTGTACATGATGATCGCTTATTTGGAGTGAATGAATGTTTAGGCAAAAAAATGTCACTATTATATATTCACCAAATTCATTCATTGTGTGTCAATACATTTGCATAAATGCCTTGTTTGTACTCAGAAATAATGTTCAAAGGGAGAATTTGAGATTGCAGCGATAGTCTGTTTTTTTTGTAATACTTTGCTTTCATTGTAAGATTGTGGGCTTCCAGGGCAATTTGCTAATTTCCAGAAAGTACAGTGTTAGTATGATTATTGAGTGTTATTGTGAATTTCTCATGAAATGAAATGTCTTTGTTAAGATGGATTTTGGTTGATACCTAATCCTTAACACAAGTATCTGCCTCGTCTCTCCCAAGGATCTCGATACCATTATTATTATTTACACCATTTGTATTTATTTGTTTCACCCCATTTCCTTGGATCCTGCCTCTAGACTGCATCAATGTAAACGTCACTGATAAATCCCTGATTAAAATGGAGCAGACTACTTTCCTTCTTGTCTCCTCCATTTCAATCAGTTTCGTCAGAACAGTGGAATTAAAAATCTCCGTATTTTTTCAGCTATTTCTTTTATTACTCTAAATTGTGACACAACATACCATCATTGAGGACTATTTAAGTAATGTATGATGCTGGAATCTGATGACTCTCAGATTTAAAATAGGCAATTAGTTAGAAAAGGGATTCATTTGGGAACATTTTCTGCCTGTGCAAAGATGGAACACTGTGCAGTGAGTGTGTTATCTGGCCCTATAACTCCATTCTGTTTGCCATACATTCGGTGTCATTTTCAGCAGATGCTCTGATGTTCCGTGTTTGACAAACTGACAGAAAAGTGTAGGCTGTTTCACTGCTCAGCTCTTCTCTGTGTGATTGAGAACAGCGTGTCCTTTATCACTGTGGAGCCAAAGGCTGTTATTTTGTGAATGGTGTGTTTCATATTTTGCACAGTGTTTTCTCAATGAGCTGTTGTTATTAAATGCTAGGCAGAGGTGTTTTTTTAAACCCACATGATCTACACAACACAGGTAATGTTTAGAAGTCTGCAACAGAATGAAACAACATTTTTTTAATTGCTGTTGACCTATGAGTTAATATTGAAACTTCTGGTTCAGTGTTCATACACAAACCAGCTCTGTGTTTGTGTGTTATTGTGCCTGTGTGTTTGCGTTTTGCATATTTGCGGTAACGCTTTGTATCTGCATTTTTGAAGGCAAACAGATCACTTCAGATTTCACTGTTTAAATTCCAGCTTGGTAGAAGCTGACCGTCCTCCTTTCCTTTACATCGTAAGTGATGAGTTTTTAACCATTTCATCACTTCATCATACTGTAGGTGTTTGTTGCACACAAGGACTGTTGTCAGTTCTGGATACCAACGGAGGTTTTCATGGTGATGATGTGGCTTAAACACATGACATCCATGACATAATATAATGAATTCCTGTGTTGACTTGTGTTGAGGCATTGATCAATGAGGGGGAAAATCATAGGTCAGTATGGCTAAAACATCATGTGCTAGTGCCTGACCACTGCTGTAGCCTAAAGGTATGAAGAAAACTATAATGTCAAAGCTTCAAAGTATTTTATTCTTGTACTGAAAACACAGGGATTAACTTTTCACTTGCATGTTGAGTGAAAACATCCACACTCTGTTTTATGCCTTCATTTTATGCCTTTGCTAGCTGCCACTGCTGTGCTTATAGCTGCTTCATATTCCCTGTGCTCAGTGATGGAAAATGACTTAATAAATTACTTAAATTTGCTGTGTTAAAGCTGCTAAATATTTTTCTCTAATTTTAGGCTGAGTACAAATTTAAAATTGCATCTCTTTTGCCAGAATATATTCAAAATTCAGATCCAGAAAATATTTTAAAAAATACTTTTTTTTTTCTTTTCTTTTTTTTGCAGTGTAGAGTGCTGTCTGTAAAAACAACTTGAAATTGTGTAAAAAAAGATTCATTGGATTAGTATATCATCAAATCTCCATTGTTTAATTTTTCTTTCCTGTTCTCTGCTTCCAGCTGTGTACACTTCACACACAGACCACGGTTGGTCTGTAGCAACTGTTTGATTTGTTAATCTTGCAGTCCAAACAGATATACTTGAGTCAGTATTTGTGTTTTTTTGTGTGTGTGTGCGTATGTGAGAGAATCTGTGGCAAGTACTTGTGCAACAGGTGACCTGATTAGCAGTCTACTGCGTGTGTCCACTTTGCCTGGAGCATGCAGGCAAATCTAATACACCCAATCTCACAGCCTTAAGTTCCAGGGGCTTTACTCCTCAGCCAGACTTTGTTTTAACACGGTCTTTTTTCTCCAAATACCTTTGTCACGTCTCATTTGTCTTTCTTTCTGCACTAAGATAAAATGTGTGTTTCCTCTCGTGTACTCCTTCCTGTGTTTACAGAAGCACTCGTATGCTGCTCTGTTTCTTTGCCCATTGTTCATCCTCTCTATTTAACTGTCATGTTTGGCTTGTGTTTCTACGTCAGCTCTGTGAAAGTCAGTCTGCTGGTTGGACTACTTTCAAGCCTACTGGTTCAATGTCATACTCCTGAGCTTTATTAAATTTCCTCTTTATTTAAAAATTCTGTGGAGCATTGAACTTTTTAACCTTATATCCTTTCCTTTTTCCTTGTAGGATTACAAACATTATTTGCCCCCCTTAATTGATGCAGAAATTTAGTGATTTTATTTAGTGATCTCTAGTAGCATCAGCACCGTGAAAATGGCAAATGTTTAATGGAGACTCTTAATATGAAAATGTGTTCAAAACAGCAAGAAAGTAGAGATGAACTCAAGCTGGACGAAAGAATGAAGATTTAGTTGCATTTGATGATGTATTACTAAAAGAAAATTAGTCTGAGAAAATCTAGCATTAAAACCCAGGTCAGAGCTTGTCTCCGTTCTTGTGTACTACTTTTCCTAAGAATGGTACAGAAAGTGGATTTCATGCAGCTGCTTTAGTGTAACTCTCCTGGTGTTGTTGTAGTCCCCTACTGACACTGAACACTGTCATAAGTCTTATAGTAACTGTGATGCAAAAGACATTCAGAATTAAACAGCAAGCATCATCACCATTTGGACTCTCACACTTCTGGCACGCTGGCTGCTTCATACTGAGAGCCAAATACTCTCTTGCGCAAATCAGTCTATATATCTTCTATTGTTTTGTCATTTACGACTGATCTCTGTTCTCTATTTTGTTCTCTACAGACGTGCTTCCTGCCTGACTCCTTCCTATGTCCTCTCAAGGCTGGTATTTTTGTCAACGCCATCCCTGAATCAACTGTAAAAAAAAAAATAAAAAACTTTCATTGGATGTTTATCTGCTATTCTACTCATCTGAGGATTACATTTGTCACAGGTCTGCCTGTCACTGCTTTATTCAGTTTCTTTCAAACCTATTGCCGTCTTCCTCGATTCTCCCTCAATGCAAGCACAATCTTATTAGACAGGCTGGCTCAGAGCAAGAAGGGGCTATTAGGGTAGTTTATCAGAACCATCTCTGGCAGGATTAGAAAGAGTTATCAAGGAGGCAGAAGTGTAGGACATAAGGGAAAAAAATAATTGGAAGAAGGCATTAGACAAGGAGGAGCTGAATAAGAGCAACAGAGACCAGATGAATTCCTTCAAAGGGAGAGTAAAGTAAACACATTAGCTACAGTTGTTTAAAAAGGTAATAGCAACCAGTGAATTCAACAAGCTGAAGTCTTTTCTCAAGTAAATATAGAACACTGAGTGCTTCGATATTTAATTCAAAATGTGGTTGTTTGGAGCTTTGCAGATGGTTGTCCATTTAAAGCAGATTTTAGGATAAGGGTCAGAAGAATGGGATAGATTGTTGTCAGATTAGGCGAGTCATTTGTTTATATGAAATAGTTGGGTTACATCAGTATTTAAGCGGGTCATATATTATTAATCATACTTTCTTTGTAAATCTCTATTACATTCAAATGACAGTCTCTGTTGAACATTGGCTGGTTGACAAATACATATTGTACACTTTTTCTAGGTCTATGTATATAACACTTTAAAAGAAATATGAATAAAAAAAAACAAACACTGTTTGCAAGTAAACATGGTAGTTATAGTTAGAGCTGTTGTAGTAGAACTGAACAACAGTGTTTCCCAGACTATGATCAGCCCTTGCTTTTCTAAAGAGGGATTGTTGGTTTCCTGCCAAACAGGCTGTGTAGTCAGCTGAACCGACAGAACAGCAGCATGTGGCTGCTGGCTGCATCACATGCTGCCTTTAATCCTGAATAACATGCAGAGTGTCTTTAGATTTTAATAAATATTTTGTTATGTTTATTAGGAGAACGACACCTGTTTTCTGTTTTTCAGGACAAACACTTGCTTAGGTAACGCTGAAGACCATTGAACTCAACATCCTGCTTACCACTGATGTTAATTTACCACTAAGGTCTCCAACTGTCTTCTCATGGGGGACTTAAGCTCCCCCACCTCCTCCTCTCTGGACATTAAATGTGGACTATGGGAGTAGAAACTGTTAATAGTTTACTTCCAAAATCCACATATCCTTTTCTTTTTTACTTATTACCTTCATTCATTAAGGACGCTACGAAACTGCAGAACAGCACAAAAATGATTCAAAGATTCATTCATCTTTTTTCCATGCTGTGTGGTTTAAAGACCATAAATGTTTCACTACACTCAAACATCCACGGTAACCATGGTGACTGCTGGCCTTGAATGCTCTGTCAGCCCATTGTTGATGATAGTGACAGCAATCAGCCGTGGCCTGCTTAATCGCAAATGAGATAAAAACAAAAAAATGAAGTCTGGAGGTCAGCAGCAGTTCACAGCCTTCCTCTCTGTTTCACGTATTGTGTCTGTATATTTGCATTGCCTTTCACACCTTGTTGTATTGCAGTAAAAATGTGGGATTCTGTAAAACCTTTAT